AAAAGGGAAAGTCGCCAAGAGTAGAGCCGCATGCCAAATATTCATTTAACCTACCTTAATCATAATAATAAATATTATTATATCTAATCCAATAATATCAAACCAGCCCATAATGCATGATTACTGATTAGTTATTTGGGAGTGATTAGTTTTCTCTCCTAGATAGTTGTACATGTTATTGTTGTGATTTTAATTGTGAATTGGAAGTGTTTATTTAATAAAATGATCTCGAAATATTTGATCTATAAGAGCAGCTCCACTGTATTCAATAGCTCGGTGGACCGGTTGTTGCTCCAACCCAATTGCCCCTGCTCATGCAAGCAATAGGGCTTAGGGGAGGCTCGAGCGAGAAGCCAGGAGGGAATTAACAGCCCGAAAGCCTGAAGGTTGTGTAATGTGCGGCTGATGTGCGGCATCGGTGCATGCGCCGACTTTGACATCTCCCTGTCCTTCTTCCCCTCATTTGACCTGGATCTACACACCCAAACCCTCAATTCAAACGAAAAACATCAACTATGCAGAATCAATTTCAGAAAATTAAATTAAACTAAAATTTCCAATAAATCTGCTATTCTAAAACCACTGCATATAGGGTCAAATTCAATCGGCATCAAATAAATCAAACAAGAAATAAAAAATAAAAAAAAATGAATCGTTAGATTGAACTCATTATTCAGGATTCATGGCTGGGACTTAGAACGAGTCGCGAGAAATTGGGAAGAAATTCTAGTCCCGGCGAGCAATTGCCGCTATGCGTGATATCTTCGTTGGAGAGACGTAGAGAGAAGAGAAGTGGAAGAGAAAGATGAAGATTGGGGAAGAAGGAGAAACCGAGGAGGGAGGGAATGAAAACAGAGAAGATGAGAGATGATGATGGTGGAATGAGGGGAAAAAGGTCAAATGAGGGGAAAAAGGAAAAAAAAGATAGAAAGAAAGAGAGAGGGAAGAGAGAGAGAAGAGAGGGGGGGTCAAATGAGGAGAAAAAAATGAAAGGGTGATGTGGATGTTTGATGGATTGAATGAGGAAAAATTACTAATATTTTATTACAAATTGCTAGGATTATTCATTGTAGGGGTGGAGATATAAAAAGCAATTACTGTTCATTAAAGATAATTATTGTTCATTAGGTAAATAAAATAGTGAATAAGCCTATGGGGCTTTAAACATGATGGAACAGCTCTAAAAATAACCGAATTTATTTTGAAACAGATCGCTAATCTACACTCAATACATATTTATTATAATCTGTAGGATCTAATATATTTTATATAGTCCATCAACTCAATCCAATCCAAATTTCAAAGCAGGTTGGCCATCTATACATCCATTGATTCCCACGATTTCCATGTTTTCTCGCATGCTTTTTTTTTTTTTTTTTTTTTTTTTCTTAGGAAAATTAATGGAAAGAACTTGAAAATTTTGAGTTTTAACAATAAGGATAAAATAGGATAAAGTAAATAATACAAGATTAACTTTTTAGTGTAAAAATATAATTTTTCATTAAAGTAAATAATACCGGAAGCTTTTCGTTAAAATTATCTTTTTTCTTCCTATCGATTTGCTTCATCTTAATCTAGCTAACGGTCTTCGGGCCATGCAAATCATGCATGATATAAAATAAGGAAAATTAACAAAAAATTCTTAAAAATTTTAGTTTTAAAGAAAATGAAAAAATAAAGGTGTAAATGAATAGTATCATGAATGATTTTTCAAAATAAAAATATATTTAATGTTAAAAGTGAATAGTCCAAAATTATTTCAGATTTCCTGTAAACTATGATGAGATGAGAATATAAAATAAGGAATCCATACAGTAATATATCAGGCCAAAAAGTATATGATTTAGCATTAGTGTGTAATTTCGTTTAGTCACTGAGCATAAAAGGTGTATTGCCTTTTGCTTGGTCTTTCTTCTCTTTGGAACACTTTGTTTGACCATAAGGTGAGAAATTTAACGAAAAGATTTCGAGTTTATTTTAACGAAAAATCATATTTTTACATTAAAAAATTAATCTTGATACTATTCCATTTATTCTTTATTTTGTCCTTATCGTTAAAACACAAAGTTTTCAAATTTTTTTCATTAGTTTTTCTTGATTTTTATTCAAAGTTCTTAAATTTTTTTCATTGGTTTCCCTTGATTTTTATTTTTTATCCTTGGATCATGATTATGCTCGACAGCTTGGGTTCAGGTTCCACTTCTCCTATAAAATAATAACAAAGAGATGGATTTACTAGAAATTTCACACTTCGATTTCTGCATCTTTTCTAACAGTGCTAAACAAAAAAATATTTGACTAATTACACTTAACGAATCGTGTCTTTATGCATATAAATCACAATATATTTTCATGAGTGTAAAACCTGTAATTTTTGTAATTTTTAATAAATTACTTTTACATATGTATTAGACTATAATTTATACGTATAGAATAACTTCTTATTGTGAGGAACCATACAGTGTTTCTATACATTAAAGCCCTCCATAATTAATTTAATTGTTGTAAAGAGTTTTCGAACTCTAAAATGTGTCTCTAAATGTTTAGTTTTCTAGCACTTTCTTCCCCAGTTTTAAGTTGAACATGGCATGTGGGAACCTAAACATCTGGCTGTCACCATGTGGACAATATCACATAAAGTAGAGTGATCTAATCTAAATATAATAATTAATAGCATCTCCAAAAAAGGTTGTTAAATTCACTTTTTAACTAAATATGTAGAGCTAGACAGAATTTCTTTGATCCAAGAGAGTTGCTGAACTCATTCTTCAAATTTATTACTTGTAGAGAGTTTCTAACCAAGTCTTCAAACATTCTTTTTATTATAATTAGCCTTTATGCATGCGCTCACGTGCGTGCAAAATGTATTTTTTGAATCACGACGTGTTACGTGCGATTTACATATTTTAAATGTATTTATTAATGTAGATGGAAATGAATAATAAATACATTTAATAAAAGTGATCTTTTAACTAATCAAAGCAACTGAATCCATATTAATAAAAACGGTATTTCAATTTCCATCTACATTTTATTGAATTTACATTAAGATTAGAAAAAATAATATTTAATAAACAACTAATTGCTAGCCCTTTGTGAGGCTAAACCCACTCCCTTCCCTTAGTATAGATAACATCGTTTGGTAAAAAAAAAATGATTATTTGACAACTAATTAAATCACATTATTATGCGCATGCAAGAGATTTTTTTTATAACTGGCACTACCCACCTCATAAGTGTTTAAAAACTGAGAAATAATATTTAATAAACAATCGTGTGCAAAAGACATTTTTTGAATCACAGCGCACTAAGCGCAACTTAGACATTTTAAATGTATTTATATGCGTGAATTGCTTCGATATTTTTTTATTTTGTTATTTTATTTTTTTATCACCGGCGCTACATGCCTTTTAAGATATTTTGAATACAACATTCATGATTTTTCTTATTTTTTATTATATTTTTCTTTCCCATCACGTGAGCACCATCAACTTTGTCATTTATTTATTATTTTCTCCTTTTCCTTTCATTTTTTTTATTATTTTCTCTCTCCCCATTTATATTTATATTATATTTTACAATGACCAAATTACCAACTTACCCTTACATAATTTGATATATCATTTTGGTTAGGTTTTGAATTTTTTTAGCTAAGGGGCAGTTTGGACCAATTATTTTTGTCAAAGTAGATGACACCAAAATTTTTGTCTCATGCGTGGCCCCAATTGGCAAATTCCATTGTTCATCACCCTGCTCTACACTGTTCATGCCTTCCAGCTTTATATATAATAGATAATGTATCTTTTTCACAATCATTATTCAGTAACAACAACAAAAATGGGACCAACTTGTTTCATATTAGATAGTATATAATATTAAAATTTGTGGAGTCTGTTGGAGAACAAAATTTGAAGTAGAAAATTTTACTCTTCAAATTGGTATGTAGGTCAACAAACTTGTGTCCAAAGAGTTACATTTGTAGAAGCTGTTGGAGATGCTCTAAATAGAAGAGATTAATTTTGGGTCTATAACATGGAGAATTCAGTTACTGCATTCATTATCAGCCAATGTATATCGTCGAAATTTTACTGTATGTCTTTGAAGGGACTTCTCAGCCAAATTATATGATTTTGATTCTTGTAGTTTATGCTTAGACTTCATGAACTTCGGCTACGTGGATTAAAATCAAACTTTGGCCAAGAATGAACCAAACTTGAAAATTGAAAATTAATTTGCATGATGAAGGTTAATTATACTTATTCATGCTTGGCAAATGTGGTGAAGATGAAATTGTCCTCCGCCCAAATTCATAAATTGGAAATTTGGACCTACGTACTACCTAAAAATGCAAAAAGTTGAAGGTGAAAACTTTAAGGTTATTTTCATCTTCTTTTTCCTATGTTCAGGGCTTAACAGAGGAACTTTATAAGTTTCCAAAATTTGAAGATACAAATCAAGAAATTGAATTTCAATTATTTGTGAAAATATATCAATTGGTAGAACCGTTGATAAAAGAAAAAGATGCTACTGCCATGACTAGGAGCCTTGGCAGACAGCTTAAAATTGAAAGAATCAGGACACAAAAAGCTAATATGGTTCGGCATGACCTCTACTGCAAATGAGAAGGATTAATTAATTAGTTACACCTGTGATACCGTACCACGATATATGCCACTACTCCGAGCTAGTAACTAGCAGACGGAACTCGGAACGGTAAATATGACAGTGTGATTTATTTAAAATACCATCACAATTACATCAAAGATACAGATAAATTCTCTAGTTGCAAAAACCATGCCTTCCTTGTGGTCCAAGATTTTGACTGGTGAGGAACAGGGAATATTCTGTTGGATTTTTTTCAGAATGTGTGCAGGAATAATGAGTTTCCTCCACATGATAATGACAATATTTAATCTCAATTAAGTCAATACTCAGTTCTAAAATTAATAAAATCTGAGAGATTAAGCAGCTTAAACCAACCAAATTTACATAAACAGAAGTTAAAACTGAAAACCCAAACATCATTAAACCAATAACTATTGTACAGAGAGATGGGCACTTGCAGACCCCATTAGCTTCCTTGTTTAAGCAACTGGAAAAAACAACCCATGCATATTAAGTACACCCCAAACATTGTTAACCACACCCCCAAAATTTTCTGCTCTAATAGGGAGAGAGAGAGAGAGAGAGAGAGAGACACCATTGAACCATTCATTGTTTTTGGCACTTCATTCACTTGTCGAGTATCTTGAAGTCCAGTACTTTTCAATCTCCTCTGCTGATCTTCCAGGGATTCTGCCAGCAATCAGAGACCACCTAAGAAAAGAAAAGATAAGGAAAATCAGGACAATTTTTTATATATATACAAGCGAAATGCTAGCTAAATTCATCTAATTATGGAGAGGAGGATTTGATCTTATTGGGAGCCGAGGAGGAGCAAACTGCTCTAGCCAAGCCAAGTTGGTTAAAGGAAAGGCTAAATATCTAAAATGGTTTTTGAGATTTGCATAACACATTACTTTGGTTCTGAGATTGAAAATCAGTAGAAATGGTTCCTGAGATTATCCACCATCCATCATTTTGGTCATTCCGTTATAAACTTCGTTAAGTGTCCCGGAGTTCTTGGTCAGAAGTTTAGGCAATTTTTAAAGCTTTGTAACTCAATCGTTTTTTAACCAAATTCAACCCATAATATATCAAAAATGAAGATAGGAAAGTGTAGAACAAGATTATTTTCCGGAACAGTCAACTTTAAGGCTATTTTCCAGCCATTTCTGGCAACCATTGGGCTTCCAAATAGGTATAATATTGTTCTACACTTTCCTATCTTCATTTTGATGTATTATGAGTCGAATATGGTTAAAAAACGATTGAGTTACGAAGCTTTGAAAATTGCCCAAACTTCCGGCAAGAACTCTGGGACACTTAACGAAGTTTTTAAGTGAATGACCAAAATGATGGATGGTGAACAATATCAAAGACCATTTCTATTGACTTTCAATCTCAGGAACCAAAGTGATGTGTTATGCAAATCCCAGAAACCATTTAGGTTATTTAGCCTAAAGGAAATTATGAAAAAACTATAAATAAAAAAGTTGATGAAGAAAATAACGGCTCACCTCTCACCAACCAGATTAAACATCCTAGTGATTAGAGTTTCCTCATCTTCTGAAAATTCAAGCTTAGAGTCTTGACTACTTTCCTCTGCAAAAATTTGTGATATATAATTAGGAAAATGTTATTGACACTCTAAAAATCTCATTCTACACACCTCACAAGTGTATTTTTTTTTCTAAATATAAAAAGTTTGGAGTATAGAATGAGAAATTTAGAGTGCCAATAATAATTCCCTATAATTAAGGTGCCTATGTGTGAGTAATTTGTCGAGAAAAACTAAATATACTATTTATAACATATAAAATTCAAAGAGAATATAAGATGTAAAACCAAAAACACAGATTTCAAAGGGTCACCCATAAAAGTATCAAGAACAAGTAGAAAATTGGACAACTAATTGAAATACAAAATTTGGAATTGGAAAGTGAAGAAATGGAATATGATTGGAAAAATAACATGAAATTCTGAAAAGGGTACCTCTAGAATCCACAGAGTTGTCGTCAGAAGTGGAGTGGGAGTGATCCAAGTCAGCCATCGGAGTTGAAAATATGAAAAAAATTGGAGCCGCCAAAATTTCAACAACTAGGGTTTATATATATGGGCGAATATATAGAAAAAAAAGCAAGCAGTGCAGGAAACTGTGTTTGAAATTGAAGGCAGTTGTCGAAGTCGTATAAATAGGAGGAAGAATCCTCGAAAGACAATGTTGTGCATGATGATGGATAGGATAGGTGAAGAATGGGAGGTGAGATGAGATAGGAAGACAAAGGGAAGAACGGTAGTTGGAGAGAGTGGTTTTTTTTTGTCCAACCTTTGACAGGTAGTTGAATACTTACCTGTTTGTTGGCATAGAATATTTTATGATTGAGAAAGCTTGGAGTATTTGTCCTCATACGTCTAAATCAGTGCACAGTGAAGCAGAAAACAATGGAGTGTGGGGCTCCAACCGTCCAATTCCAATTTTATCTAAAATGATTGAAATTTATATGATCAAAACACTCTAGGTCCCTTGATTTTAAGCATAGGTCTTTATATGTTGACTCTTCCAGGTTTGGGAAATTTAAAGGTGGAACTGCACAATGTACACATATGTAACATCACAGTGATCATAGTGATGTTCCGTGGAGGGCTGTGCATGGCACTCACATGTACACTTAACAGACTCCATCACACGAGTATAATATTTTATTAGAATGTCATTTTATGGTTCGAGAAGGTCATTTCATTGATGTTTTTAGCCATGCATGTGAGCCTTACATGCAACTTTGTATATAGTTTAAATAAAAGATTCATTTTTTTTACTAAAATTGGTAACGGACTCCATTAATGCACAAATTAAATAAATATTGTTAACCATTTTTTTCACATGGATTTGATAACATAAAATTGTGAATTTGTACCAATGATGGATTCATAACTGAAGTGTTTCAAGAGGGGTAAGGTGTATGCCTTCTTCCCTCTTTTTTAGTATTTTGTTTTTCTTGCTTTATGAGAGGTAATGTTTTTGTACCGTCGAGGTTTTCTAAAAAAATAATAAATAATAAATTTGAAAAGAGAACAGTATTGCCCATCAAACTTAATCCCTAAAAAATCACTTGGTTTTGGTTCTTTAATATGCAAGGTATGGTAATACTTTGGTATGAGAAACAATATTCTAGTGATTCCTTTGGAGCTAAGTGTTCGGTGAGAATTGTTATCTAGTGGATAAGCATGGTTGTGTTTAGCAGTAATTAAGAAAATGCCAAATTAGGAAACAGAAATATCAATATAGTACGGCATCATGTTCGATGATATGGCCAATTAAAAATTGTGATGTCTGAACCATCCCTCTCAGCTTCTAATCTTCTTTGTCGCCAGCCAAATACTTTTATACTGATGTCTACTGGAGAACTTGTACAAAACCCACGCGCCATTTGGAAAAGTTGTTAACACACTACAATTTGATCCATCAATTAGAAAATTAAATATAAAGCCTAATCTACAAATACTACGATTAGTTGCCACACGTGTATCAATTACCAACAATAAACTTAAGTCGACCCAACGATTATCAACCAAATGCGCCCAAAGGTTACTTCAAAAAAAATTCCAATAGTACATATATGTAGCAAACCACAACATATATGTCTGTTTGTCAAACAATTTATACGTAACTACTTGACTTCTCGCCTTTTAACCCTTATTGAGGACTTTTATTAAATAGCTCAAACTGCTATACTCGAAAAAAATCTATTTAACATTATAAGTTATTATAAATAACAGCGTAATTAGTACTCAGTAGTGTTATGTAAATCTGACACTGGGTGCACGTGTACTTGACTAACCCTATAAACATTTCTCAATTAATAATGTAGTAACATGATTGATAATAGTGAAGTGATAAGAATCATGTGCTGGCATTACTTCATACTGCATTGTAATGCACGTGGTTAAGGTGGTGGTGTGCGGCGGATATCGAACAAGAAAGGAAAAGACTTATTGGACGGCCACAGTTGATCCGATTTTCATCTTTTTATACAATACTCTGAAGTCGACAGGCAATTACTTTTGATTGGATTTCATGAGAGGAGATTAGGGAGGGGGATTGTCATTTTGTAGGAATTAAAAAGTAGTATTATTATTTGACTAATTGAGAGGCACAGTCATACTAGCCACGTAATTCAACTTATTTATTTGTAGTGGGATGAAATGAAAAATTCTGGATAGAGAAAGCTGAAATTCTTCTGTAAATTTTTACAACTTTCAGAAAGTGAACTGTCACGACAAAGTCATTAGTCTTCTTTTAAAAATAAATTAATAAAGGAACATTAAAGATATTTAACATATAACAAGTGGTTACTATTTCCAAGTAGATGATTTTTTAGTAGATTAGTAAAGGGGATGAAAATATAATTAAGTTGATTAACATATAACAAGTGGTTCCTATTTGAATATAAATTGTAATCATTGCATTTTTAGTAGATTAGTAAAACAATAATTACAAGTTTTATTGTGACATTCAGTCCCGAGATTTATTGTATTTTATTTTTGATAGCGAAGGAATTCCTAAAATGCCCTTGAGATGCAATGTTCGCCTTCCATGTGGATCTCAATTTCTCTCTCACTTTTCCACTCTTATTTTTCGCCCCTTCAGTATATTTAGTGGCAGAACTCTAGTGATGACAAGGATCTCTAGCAAAAGCTGATATCTAGGAGACTACTCCTAAAGATATAATTATTACTTTACTCTTATTCTATTTTATTTATGTTCTAACATCACTTGTGTGATATGGGTTCAATTCCGTTCACATACGCACTCTTGTATTAGTCACTTTATGTTTTAATTTATTCGCATTCCACATCATTACACTTTATTACTTCGTCACTTTTCAAATGTCGGCCATCATATCTCGATTCGGGTATTTAGGTGGATATTCTGGATGCGGTGTATCATTTATACAAAAATACATAAAAGTTAAATAGGTGAAACATCCTTAGCGAGCTGCTTGTCATGTCTAATTCATTATTAAGGAGCGAAAACAATTTTGTACTATTTCCCCCTTGATTAGTCTGTCACGTTGTATTTTGAAACTGCTTGACTTATTATCCGCTTGATATTGAGATTGGATACAAATCATAGTGAAGTAAAACTTTTATTTAGACGCCTAACAAAGATAAAATTTAGATTTAGTTATCAAATTAACATTGTATGTATTCACCTCTTTGTTTTAAACTGTGAACTAAAACATATAGCTAAATAATTTCAATGCACTTGCAATTTATATTAAATTTAAATTGATATTCCCTTGCCGGTATGAGCGAGTCATATTGCAAATGTGCTCATTCTTTACATCCGAGTTTAAATCCCTTTTCCTACCATTCAGATAAATATTAAAGTAGAATATCGTCATAAAGATTGGATAATTTATCACAAATGGTCTTTTAAATTGATCATCACCATCAAGTTGGTTCCTGAAATTGAAAATCAATCAATGTAATCTCTGAAAATAGGTGTCGCAAATCAATGTGGTCATTACATCATAATTCTATTAAAAATTCCGTTAAGTGCTGATGTAGCACATAAATGGGTCCCATAAGTTTTTTTTTTTCACAAATGATCCTTGAAATTGACGTGTGACATCAAAATGGTCCCTGAAAATTGACATGCGACATCAAAATGGTTCATGAAATTGAAAATCAATCAATGTAATCCTTTCGTCACAATGCTGTCAAAATTTTTGTTACGTGCTGATGTGACACATAAATAGATCACACAAGTCTAATTAAATTTAAAAAATTACCAATTGGTTTAATAATTTAATAGTTAATAAAAAGTTGTGAAACCCAAAAACCCAGTCCTGCAATCAACTCTGATCACAGTCCACATTCATCTACCTCATTCGCTGTCTATTCTATAAAAAAAATCTCAATACACCCATCTTTATACATTTCGACACCCTTCACCGAATTGAACCTGAATCGAGATCACCTTTGGTGACAGCTTGGCTGATTGGCAATGACTTTTGGGACATCACTGTTAACATTTAGGTGATCAACATCCTCACAACCTTAATCTTGAAGAACTTGTTTGACGCTTTCTTGGTGATCTGATGACTCAAAGAACGTGAGGTTTGTCATGAGATAATAAGGTTATAACCGATGACGTCTATTGTTATTTGAAAACTATTTCCAAACCCCCTATTAGGCCTTGGTTAAGCCTTGTGCCTTTGAAAATTTATGAAAGGGATCTCTATACGAAGTAGGTCCTACTATAAGGAAAAAAAAAATTTTATTATGCAAAAAGGTATTTAGACAATTTTTTTAATTAATTATTAAACCCACATCAGCATATAACAAATTTTTTGTACATAATTATGGTGGAATGATTATATAGATTTGCGACACCTATTTTCAAGAACTACATTCATTGATTTTCAATTTTAGGAACCATGTTGATGTTGTGGGTCAATTTCAGGGACCATCTTGATGGTGTGAGTAGATTTCAGGGACCATTTGTGATAAAAATCCGTAAATCTTGTGGGGCCCATTTATGTGCCACATCAGCATTTAACATAATTTTTAACATAATTGTAACGGAATGACCACATTGATTTGCGATACTTATTTTTAGGGACTACATTGATTGATTTTTAATTTCAGGGACCATCTTGATGATGAGGGTAAATTTCAAAGATCATTTGTGATAAAAACCCTAAAGATTGCTCTTGTTGAACCCACCAACACGGTTCAATACAAGTTCAAGACAACTGGAGGTTTTAAGCCTAACAAACTCAAAAAGAACAGACACAAGCCCATTGGACGGAGTAGTCATATGAGCCCATCAGAAGTTGAAGAAAGGCGCCCACTGCCCAGAAAGTAAAAGTCACAAGAGGTTACTGCTCGTCCTTTGACATAACACAGAAAGCAGCGGAACTAGAACGATAACAAAGTATCGTAATTTAAAGTTCTAAAATGGGTACTAGTTTAACCTAGAGAGGGGGTGAATATGTTCCAATTTAAAAAATCTAATTCAATTTTCAATTTAGTTTTCAGTTCTCAAATTAATTCCACATTCACATCACATAACAAACTATCTTACACATATGCAGTTAAAAAGATAAATAAAAAATGCACACAGGATGTAGGATTTAACGAGACAAAACCCATAGCAAGATTGTTAGGGTAAAATTAGCCATTTCTAAACAAAACGCCTAAGTCTGTAATGTCTTGGACTAGTGCATGTCTCAATTGTAATTGCTTTAGTCTAAGTATGTCTATTGTGCTTCCGATCGGAAAAATAATAAGAGTTTCAGAGATATCCACTCAAGTAAGTGTGTTATGCATATACATTCATGTAGATAGCTCTTACTTGGTATTTAACTTGATTTAATTTTGGGCTTAACGTTAATTGGTTGGTTTATTTTTGGAGAGCCTAATATATCTTTTAGCTGCCGTGTTTTCTAGAAAGTTAACAGCTATTTTGATATGTTTTGCATATTTATCAAGTTAATAAATTCACGTGTTTTTCAATTCAATTTTATAAGGTGTACGCTTATCCTTGTATTCTTTTTTCTGCACAAAATAAACCCTAGTAGAGTCATATATATATATATATATATATATTGAAGTCTTACGTGAGGTTTTTGTGGTGGCTGCATAGATTAGAATAGTTTTCTTGAGTTTTGGGTTGCCGCCGCACTCCCACATTGCTGCATGTTTTGAAAGACAAACAAAAGAGTTTTTGGCTTCTGTCGCATACCACGCTTGTATGCATTAGGATAGGCTTTGATTTTGGTGGCTGCTGCCATTTCGTTTTGAAAAAGAAAAATGCTGCTGCTGTTTTGAGTTTAAAAGAAATTAATCCAAGTCTGACTGTCCGCGAGCACAGAGAGAATCCTTGCGGTTTTTTGCCGAGAAGAAAAATCAGTTTGATGTTGTGTGTTTTCAAAAGTTTAACTTTAGTTTTTGATTATTGATTTTTTCACCGTGCCGTGATTGGAAATCAATTATGAAAATGTGCCTTGTGATTTTCATAATTGGTTAAGTTTCAAAAAACTATTTCATCATACATTCATTCTGCATGATTGTGTTAGTATCTTGCAAAGTTCGAGGAGAAGGTGATTGACTGGCCGCGGTAATGTCGTGCCACTTCCACTCAAAGGCTGAAGAGAGATTGAGTAGCAAAGCGCGGAGACAAAACTACCTACTAATATGTGTGTTTAGTTGATGAGTTTTGTAAGTATTTCAGTATTTATTTCTCCTAGTGTTTGTTCTGGGTTGGAAGCACGAGGATTTTTTCAGTGGTGGGTTTTGCCTCATTAAATCCTACATCTTGTGTGCATTTTTTATTTATCTTTTTAACATCATATGTATAAGATAGTTTGATATGTAATATGAGTGTAGAATTAATTTGATAACTGAACATTGAATTGGATTTTTAAATTAGAACCTATTGACCCCCCTCAAGGTTAAACTAGTACCCATCTTAGAACTTTCACAAACCTTTATAAGGTACATATTGTCAATTTTCAGAGGGACAGGTCAAACGCTTACTTTTAACAATATTGATAATGTCCCTAATTTGGTAATTATCTTCTACACAATCCGTCAGGTGTGAGATTTTATTATAAAAGATCTTGGTATTTGTTGAAGTAGGCTTAAGATATTTAAACTATTATTTCTCTATTTCTATGACCGATGTGAGATTCGACATGCCCCCTCACGTGGGACCTAATTAGTGGATCACATGTGAGAGATCCACATATTTGCAACCACGCAAAGCCAAGGGGACTCATTCACGAGAAAATTTTCATTACGACCGGAATGCGAAAGGTACACCATGTGTTTTTATACAAGTGGTACAAAATTTTATTTTTTAAGTTATTAACTTTTTAACACACATATCCCACCATTTGTATAGTGACACGTAGTGTACCATCTCGTGTACTGGTCACATTGAAAAATTTATCCTCACTCTACATGCAAGGCCAAGGGACCCATCCATCACGTGGGAGTACGGACCCAATCAATGGCTCTGATACTATGTCGAATTATCAGAGAGATGGACCAAATGTCAACTTCTAACAACACTGATATTATCGCTATCACCTGCACAATCTGTCAAGATTGCAGTACCATTACAAATCATCTCATTCTTAGTCTTGTTGCACAGTAGTTAGGCTCTCTTCCTCTCGTTGCGTTGTTGTAAACGGACATGCGCGTACTCTTTTGTCCCTGCACCTGTGAGTCCTCAGCATTTACATCAGCAAATGATCTACACATACGCACAATCACAAGGAGTAGGATTCTCTCCCCTCATATTTCCATCCCTTTCTCTCTCCTCCTCTCACACATTGTTTTTTGTCTTATTGTCTCTATAAAAAAAATTAATATAAGATGTTGACGTGATTTAACTGTGATCTTTCAAATAAAAGATGAAAGAGATTATGAAGGAAGAGAATCCTCCTCCCAATCACAAAGACACAACAAAACATCAATAAGTCACCCCTTTCAAATTCCTTGCAAGTACGATGCTTCCAATAAATCATACCATCTAAATGAAATTAGCTTAGAAGAAAAGAAATTTACCAAAAGCAGATGGGACCCGGGTGAAGAATTCAGACGTGAAACTTGACTGTTTGAGGTAGAAGATCAAGTAACCAGCAAAGGGGATTTTTCTTTGAACGCCATATAAAATCTGCTCCACAAAAGGGTAAAAATCCGATCAGCCAAATCCAATAAAAAACATAGGAACAAATCACCCGTATATATAAGTATATATGTAAATATGAGGAGGGTGGCATCATTTTTTTTTAATGTACTATCCACACATTCTTTTTACTTCTCACACACTCCTTTTTAATTTTTGTCCTTGAATCTTTTCTAATTCAGTCGATTCGACCGCGCAAATTCAAGAGGGTGTGTATGAAGTAAAAAAGGTATGTGGATAGCACACTCTTTTTTTTCATAATTTTTTACACGCGTTTTTGTGAGGCCCACTCCGTAATGTATTTCAACGACTCGAACCATCTATCTTTTAGATCTTCCATAAAAAATCATGTCTATAAAAAATCACCCAAATTTGAAATCATATAACTGTTGGATTAAGGATTTAGGGTTTCTTTGTAGAATCGTATTCATCTATTTTCTTCACTAAAAATGTATTAATGGTTTCAGCTAGGCCCTGATTCACAGCCCTAAGTGAAGGGATAATAACGGACTTTGCCCATGAAGTAGTTTGTATTTGTCTAATTTTTTGTAAGTATGATTTATGAATGATATTCTAAAAGATAAGCGGTTCGATTCGTTGAAATACATTACATAGTGAAACCTACAAAAATATAAAGTGGTGCCACGAATCCTACACACACATATTCACCTATGCTTTATAAAATAAAAAGGCACAATTTGATAATTCCATCATATTATAGGCCACAATTACCAAAGTACACATCTTTTTTATGGGTAAAACAAAATTACTAAAAAGTTATCCAAAATCATCATTTCCTTGACATATTCTTAAGGGAACTCTTGTTGGGTTTTCATTGCCAACGTATTCTTAAGAGAGGTTTGGACATAGTCTAATGTGGGGAGGAGTGAGGATGTGGAGGAGGACCTCCTCCGGGAGATCGTTCAGGTTCGATTGGGAATTTTTGTGCTAGCTAGGGTTTTCATTGCTTCCCTCTCGTAGGCCCTTGAATTTTTTCATATCGTTTGAGTTCGATTAACAAAATTGCAAGGCTTCATTTGGATTCATATTTTAACACGAAGGGAAGTCTTCGTGTTGCATTTCCTCTTTTTGCAAACAGCACTTTAGTGGAAAGCAAGGATTTTTGCACCATCTTGTGGATTCAATTCTCTCTTTCTTAACAACTAATAATTTAGCTCATTAATACTATTGTTTGTAAAAATTAAAAAAAAATAAATTATATATTAAAAATAAGTTAAAAAAAAGGCATTCATCCAATAAATAAATTTAAGTCACCAAACACTAAGAGAAACGACATCGTACGCTGAAAAGGAATTTCAAGGTTTTCTTCCTTGCGACTCACTGGAGTTGCAAACGAACTGGAACCGTGGAATCACGGCTTCGTTAAGAAAGATTAGTGTTGGTTGAAGAGGGTCCTTCATTGGCTTTGCGCTGGTATGCTCCTTACTACTCTATCTCCGATCTTACCTTTCAACCATTCCATCTAGATTTTTTTTTTTTTTTTTTTTTTTTTTTTTTGAATTTTTGTTTGTGTTTGGCTGCTGAGAATCGCCATTTCTACGAAACCTGGAGGATTTTCTGATTGTTTTTTTTTTCTCAGCAACCGGACATGGATTGAGCATTCTTCCTCTTCCAGATTCGATCAATTTGTTTATTGGAAATCGAATTTTTTGCATAGTCCAGTATATACGAATTACTATCAAATTTGAGGGATATGGTTTTCCTTTTAACACTTGTATTTGAAGGTTATGGTCAGTTTTTGCAAGTTGGGTTGTCTATGGAATTGGGTGACGGTGGATTTCGTTTTATGATGATGAGATGAAAATTATAGTGCATTTTGTCTATTGAACTTTTCTTGATACAAACGATATTCTAAACTACTATGATTTACGGGGAATAGGGATTCAAACTCTGGCAGTTAATGTGGTTGCTTTATGTTCTTTTGCGCAATCTGGGTTGTCCATGGATTTGGTTCACCGGAGGATTTCATTTTTATGATAATGAGTGGAAATTTGAAGTGGATAGTGATTCGAACTCGAGTGCATGCAGGGGATGGAACCGTTGGAAGGCGGTTTTTTTTTTTTTTTTTTTTTTTTTTTTTTTTTTTGAAGCAGTGGTTTTGGGTTGATTAAAGAGTTCTACTTTGGTTGTTAATGTAGTTGTTTTCTGTTCTTATGTAAAAATATTGGTTTTGTTCTAAAAGAATCTCTGAATACGTTGTACTTGTTATGTTTTTTGGATTGACTCATTGGCTTTTTGTCTACCCTTTTGTGGAGCAGATGTGATTTTTTTGTGTAAAATTTTTGGCACCAAAAAGAAATTATGGCACGGAGGAAGAAATTGTGCGAGAGATCCAATTTCAATGGCAAAATTATGGACTGCCTTGCAAGGTATTACAGCTCAAAGATGGGCTTAAGGAAGCTAAAGCCTATGATTCAGAAGAGAATCCAAAACCGAGCTAAAGATTACCCAGTGCCGGCCATGGTACCAGTTGCACAGGAGGTCCTTGATACCGGGAGGCTTGTTATGCAAGGTGTCTCTACTCTCCTCAAAATGGTACGACTTTTGGCCTGCAAGTAAATTCCTCATCTGCCAAGTATTTTTTTTACTTGTAAAATAAATTCTTTTTAAGCTTTGAACTACTTGGCACTTTATTGTTCCATCGCATAGTTACTGACATGTCCTGGAATAATACCAACTTTGAAGCTCCAGAGTTTATGTTCTGTATTTCTTGTTTAGGAATAATTAGACAACCTTGTCTGCATGTTCCTGACTCCTGAGCTCCCTAAATGTTATATTTAGTATCAGCACAAGCTATGTTTTCCAAACTAGATTTATCTAATTGACCTTCCGTTCTCCATACAGCTCTTTTTTGAACAATTTCTGTGACTCAACGAAAGGCCTACTTTTTGCAGGTTATGTCCACAAGTATATATAGGTGAGAAAGGCCACTTAATTCAGACTTGTTGTGGCTTCAAACGTCGTGGCAAAAATCGAGTTCATGAATGGAGGTTTGAAAGATGTGCTTGTTCCAGTACAGGCATTTCACCTCAAGCACACGTTCCAGGATGTTATAAAACACCATCAGAGGTTTGACCTTGAACGTGTTCCTGCAGTTGTTGAGCTCTGGCAATCAGGGGCAAATGATGGAAATCGTTTAAATTGGAACTCTGAAAGTGATTGTGTTGGCGTTGTTGGAGCTGAGTCTTTGTCATCTGATGAACTGATTCTGGTTGCCAGTGGAACTTTGAGGGCATGGGAAATACTTAGAAATGGCGTGGAGAAGTTGCTGATGGTTTATCCAGCGAAAATCTGTCAACGTTGTTCAGAAGTTCATGTTGGGCCATCTGGGCATAAGGCTAGGCTAGGCTTTGCGGAATTTTTAAGTATGAGAGTTGGCAGGGAACCCATTTTTGGAGGAAGGCAAATGTAGATGATCTTGTACCTCCAAAGACTCTATGGCGGCGGCGTCCTCAGGATCCTCAAGTACTTTTGAATGAAGGGAGGGGATATTATGGGCATGCTCCGGCAGTAGTAGAATTATGCACACGGGCAAGTGCCATTGCACCTCCAAAGTCTGCATGATGAAACTGCAGGTGTAAGTACCACACTTGGAGATCAAAGGTTGCTTCACCCGAATGATCAAATGTAAATGCTGGTTGATACGAAGGTAGAATATTGAACCTAGTAGAAGCTCCCCAGGACTGTTGGATCACAGATGTGTGTAGAAATGCTTATAGCTGTGACGCTTGATGATCTGAAATGGGAAAACGAAACACCTCACAAGCTCCCTTTAGATGGTCCGATCTTCATTCTTAAGAATGATTGTAACATCAGATGACTGACAACGGAGTTCAAGATGGGTCGCAAAATCAACTGAACGCGTATTGTCCCCTTCAGTTAGAGCATGAAAGAGCTGATCGAATTTGTAGCTTTGCTTTAGCTATGCACGCAGAAACAGAAACGTGGAAATTTAATCAGGCTTTTCTTGTATTTAATGATGTTTTAGATGGTTAATTCAACTTAACAAATCATTGGAACGCTTATTACTTAAGCTTCTCTGTAGATATTCGGTACTATGACTAGTTTACGATTGATTTTCGGCTATGGGATTACTGTTCTTGTGCATATCAATGTTTAGTGCGATAGACTGTCGACAGATGCCGCTTGAAGCTGAAGTTTCCTGCTCAGAAGCAATTGCCTCTGCTCATTGACTGTGCTCGAGTCTTCCGTTTCACCATAATGCTCATCGCATCGAGCGAACTCGAGGCAGTTTGTACCACAAGACTCAACCTCCTCGACGGAGGGTCGCTCTTTATTCCATTCATGATCTTGAGGAACAAAAGGATCACGGAAAATTCACAAATGCCGTACTCGCTCAAGTTGCGAAATTCGTTTTCCAACTAGATTCCACAGAAAAAAGAGTTGACATTCATTTGATGGGTGTGCCATCACCCGCACACAGTTTCTGTTCTATTCTATTCAATATGATGCTCCTTTACGATGACCCGAATCAAACTTTTGACCTAACTTAATCCGAACTTATTCTTATGTTCAAATAATTTTTAAAATATGAAGACTTGGTTATGTCAATTGACCCTTGCAGTATGTCCGCCCTCTTGTGTTATGTCAATTGACCATAGCAGTGTGTCCGCCCTCTTGCACTCATGTTCAAATCTATCTCCCTATACATAGATTAGAATATTACCTTATACATTATAGAAAAACTTATTTCAAAAAATACTAAGCAGTTGAAACAGAACGTACATGTAGTGTATACTACGAGCCTATGAGGCTCTCACCATCCAAGAAAACTAGTAAAATCTAGCTCGTAGACATCGTCAAATACTTGAAAATACATATTGTCCCGTTTACAGTTTCATTCGAAGAAGCTGGACCTTGGCTGGAGGTAGCAGAAACTTTGTTTATTTTGGTAGTTCCTTAATGAAAATTATATTTGTGTGTATTTTTTGGATCATGATCGCCACTCGTCGCCCTCTGTGAGACCGTGTCCGAACTCCCATACAACTTGAGACATTAATAAGCTTGACAACGCAGTAGGACGAGCACGATCTTGTGACAAATAGACAATGAGAATATTGCTAGGTCAAATTCATGACTACGTCTTTGTATGTTGCATTATCTTATATATATATAGCTGTATCCGATTCCTAACAGTTGACTTTTATTTATTAAGTGAGCAATTTCTTCACGGAATATGAAAGCTACAAACGTATTAGACGGTGCAAATAAAATATTTTATCAGTTTATCAAGAAAGCTGAAATTAGGGTTGGAAATAGTAAGTACTCGAAAGGGGGCATTTGTAGAGAAACCAGGGGTTTTTTTTTTTTTTTTTTTTTTTGCTGGAGCTTTATTTTCTATTTCTTTAATTTATTAATTACTTCTTTCCATCATTTGTCTAGTCGTTTTTTGGGTTCTTATTTATTTTTTATGAGGACGTTGTCAACTCGATTGTTTGCAGCCTTAACTAACGTTTTAGATAATATAAAGTTCATAAAATAACTTTACGATGACAAGTTCAAAGGCCTAAACATAACTATAAAAACCAGACATGCCTAGCTTCAATCCATCCATCTCTCTAAAGACAATGGCTTTTCAAAAGATCATCTCAGTCTTTCCTCTTCAAGTTCTGCTTGTTTTGTTGGCCTTAGACTCAAGCAATGCGCAGAAATTGAAAGTCGGGTTCTACTGCAAAACGTGCCCTGATTTAGAGGCTATTGTGTCAAGGACTACTCATCAATACATATCTAGGGCACCAACTCTTGCTGCTCCTATTCTAAGGATGCATTTTCATGATTGTTTTGTTAGGGTAAGTGATATGTCGTTTGGTTGTGTTACTTGTCTCATAAGTAATCCATCAAGTCCTGCTAATGACACAACACTTTCTGTTGAAAACTGTCCTTTAAATTATTTTTTGTTTGCACAACAATTGCTAATTACCGAATTTTGCAAAGCAATTAATTCCCTTAAATTTTAACTTTCAGGGATGTGATGGTTCTGTGCTATTGAATTCCACACCAAACAGTCAAGCTGAGAAAGGAGCAGTCCCCAACCAAAGCTTAAGAGGGTTCGATGTCATTGATGCAGTAAAATCTGCAGTAGAAAAGAAGTGTCCTGGTGTCGTTTCGTGTGCTGATATCTTGGCCTTAGTAACTCGTGACGCAGTTAGAATGGTAATAAATTAAACTCAATCCGCATAAATCAATAGTTATTAAATGTATTATTAGACTAAGAATAGTTATTAAATGTACTATTAGATAAGAATGGATGTCCGTTCTTTAATTAAGAAATGGACATCGTGTGTAAGAGACTTGTAGTTTAAGAGCTAATTATTAGGGATATTTTACTAAACCCCAGATCTTAGGTTCGATTCCTCCATCTCTCGCTATCATTACTATCATTTTTATATATAAAAAGAACAAACATCTATCATGCTTCGTGCATGCACATAAGACTTTTAGCTCTTAAATAAAATGAATGAATATTTTTTTTCCAGGTTCATGGCTCATTTTGGGAGGTTCCGACTGGACGAAGAGATGGAAGAGTGTCATTAGCCTCAGAGGCCAATAGAGGCTTACCTCCTCCTTTTGCTAACATAACTCAACTCAAAGCATTATTTGCAGCCAAGGGTTTAAGTGCTAAAGACCTAGCGGTTCTGTCAGGTGAATATTATTACGTTAACATGCAAGTTTCATTTATCTTTTTGTTTTTGGTTCATGAAACCCTAATCAACATGATCTGACCTCACTTTTCTTCATTGTTCTTAGGAGGACACACCATAGGCACATCTCACTGCCCGTCCTTCACAAATCGCTTGTATAACTTCACCGGAAAAGGCGACACAGACCCGAAATTGGACAAAAATTACATAGCTCAGTTGAAGACAAAATGCAAGCCAGGGGACACGACTAGCCGGGTTGAGATGGATCCTGGAAGCTTCAAAACCTTTGATGAAGATTACTACACTCTTGTAGCTAAAAGAAGAGGACTTTTCCAGTCTGACTCAGCTCTTCTTGATGATACTGAGACAAAAGCCTATGTGACAAAGCAAGCCACAACTCGTGGATCCACCTTTCTAACAGATTTTGGTGTCTCAATGGTGAATATGGGTAATATTGGAGTCCTTACAGGCAACAACGGTGAAATAAGGAAGCATTGTGCTTTTGTTAATTGAAGGCAATTAACTTCTATATACATTGGGAAATGATTTTTGCGTGCTTATTTTTCTCATTTGATTTCTACAATTTGAAAGCTAGAATAAGGAAGGGTGAATAGAATAAGAAAAATAGTTTGCGGAAATCACTTTCCGTGCACATTTTTATTCAGCTGGTTATTTGAATTTGCAATTGTGAGTATGAATGTTTGCATAATTGATAATGCATGTATGTGTTGTGTGTTCCAAAAAGGGCTGCAACCAAAATTGGTTAACAAGTCATGTGTGATGATTTTGGACTGCCATGGTGGGAGCCTTTCAACACCATATCGTGTAAATGTTTTATTATTTCGTTTTGGGTAAATCTCAATTTACTATCCTCAAGTTTCGTGGTTTTCAACATTTAGTACATGAAATTTTTTTCGCCCCAGAGTTATACCTAATGTGTTAATTTTAGGACAATCTCATACATCCGTTAGTCTAGTTGTTAAGTTTCCTGTTAACTGATGATATGGCGCACAATAACTGGGCGTCACGTGTCATTAAGGGATCCACCTGGAAATTAAAAATTCAAAATTCAAAAAAAAAAAAAACCCGCCCAAATTTAAAATATTAAAATAATTAATTAAATAAAATTATTGAAAAAAAAATATCCAGAACCCTCTTCGTCTTTCCTACCCTCCTCCACCCCTCCATCCCATCCACCCTTGCTCCCACGATGAACACCGACCCCAAGGGCACTGTCGTTTTCTCCACCGTTGGCAGACCCCATTATGGCTTTGACATTTTCGCCCTCCCCATCCTTCTGTACCCCCCATCGACCAATATCGACCCTGAGCGCCGCCTCTCTGACAGTCGTTCCATCAACTTCAACGCCCAATTCGCCGACAACAACCACGAATCTCACTCCCTCGTCTTCATCTCCGAGCGAACTGGGTTTCCCGCCATTTGCTTAACCCGGCCTGGACTCCCCTATCCCTAGTTCTTGCATTCCGAACCCGAATCCCTCTTCCACGACTGACCCATCATAAAAAATCACACCCTCTACTTCGTTTCAGCTCACCAGGATCCCAGTCGATACTTCAAATCCTGGTCTGCTCTCTGCTCTTCCACATTCATCCATGACAAAATCACAACCCGATTGACTCCTTCTGGCTCCGTTGATTACAGTCCCGCTCTCTCTCTCCAGAAAATTTGTCGCTGTCGCTCATAGGGCGGTGAGTTTCACGAGCTCAACACTGATATAGTCGTATTCGAAGCATCGCGACCCAGCAAGCACGTACTCGTCTGCGAGCGCGGTGGCTGGCCCACCTGGTCCGGCGACTCCGCCATATATTTTCACCGCCAACATGACGACGGCTGGTGGAGCATTTTTTCGGGTCGATTTCCCTTTTTCCAAAGATCTGTAGTCCTCTTCTGGGTTCCCAGTCTCTCCCACTCGAGTCACTCCATCAGGGCTCCACTGCTTCACTCCGGCAACTCTCCACGATGACAAACAAATCGCTGTTGTGACTCGCCGGCCCGGTAAGAATTTCCGACACATTGAGCTCTTTGATGTCGAATCCAAGACGATTGAGCCGATGACAGAGATCATGAACCCGAATTTCCACCATTACAACCCGTTTGTTTCACCCGATTCAGAGCTCCTCGAGTATCACTGAACTCAGTTGGGCGAGTCCGATTCCACAATTCCTTATATCGAGCGAGTGTCTTCGCCTATTGAACAACTCCAGATGCTGAGGATTCAGGGTTCATTCCCAACCTTCTCTCCGAGCGGCGATCTGATCGCGTATAATAAGAATTTGGATGGGAACAGCGGAATCAAGGTTATCAAATCAGACGGCTCAAAGCACTGGAATTTGATCAATGGCCGGGCAGCCTTCTACAACGCCTGGAGCCCAACCGTGAAGCCGTGGAGGGGTGGAGGGGATGTCAGGTGGGGAAGACGAAGGGGTTTTGGGTTATTTTATTTTATTTTTATACTTTTATTTAATTAATTATTTTAATATTTTAAATTTAGACGGGAATTTTTTTTTATTTTTAAATTTTAAATTTTTACGTGAACTCCTTAATGAGATTGTCCTAAATTAATACTTTTTGTATGACTTTAAAATGAAAAAAAATTTCATGTACTAAATGTTGAAAATCACGAAACTTGAAGGTAGTAAACTGAGATTTATCTTTTCGTTTTTATAAATATTTCAATTTCAAATCAATAAGGCTTGAACATTATTCGATTGAGACGGAATATTGGTTTCTATTCCATAATTGATGGCCAACTTCATCAACGTGCTCTGTTGTGCTGATTATTATATCATATGGTCCGGCGTCCACCAAGTAGATATGGGATAATTAAATATCACAGCTAGAACATTTACACATTGATAAATTAAAAAATAAATAACTAAAATTCACCAACTTTTTAGAAGAACAGGGATTGCACTTCGAAAACTGAAAGAGAATAAGCTTGCTGTAATTTGGCTCTGTGCAGCTCAGTGATGAATCATGATTAAGGATACGGTAAACTCTCAGGTCCGTTGCCATCTACAATTTGGCTCTAATTGGCGTTGCATTGTTACTCCGATATAATCTTAGTCCCGAAACTTCACAGAGATATGGACAGGGATTAAAGAAGCGACCTCAGCAATTGTACCAGCTAGCATATATAACTAAATCCAGGCTTCGTGCATTTACCCGCATTTCGCTACATCTAAACCGTTATAACAATCTGTCATTTAAAACATGACATGTCAACCTACAATGAGTTTAGTTTTTCTGTTAAAAAAATTATTCCAGAAGGACGTTTATTATTTGCAGTTTGTGTATCCTTTTTCTTGCGTTAACGACTTTGTCTTTCTGTGAATTTACGCGCTCCCTTCATTGTGGCTCAATAGAAAGTTTCCCATGATTAATCCAACTGCATAGTCCCCTGTGTTTTCTTTATTCATAAAGTGTTTTCGTGCATGTTTTGGAGAGGAAGGAGACTATGCATCTGCTTGTAATGGCCAGCTCCTCCATCACCTTCTCTCTACGATCTCCTTATTTCTGCTTCTCTCACATGATGTGACATGACATTTGGAGAACAAGTAAGGCCCTCCTTCCCAATAAATAATCAAGGCCCACTTTCTATTCGAAACACACGCGGGAAAATAGGCGCCATGATTAATTAAAAGAAAAAAACCTGTGTTTACTTGATTGAATTTGAAGATTCTTTCAGCCATGAGCGATTTCCAGTGAGCCACAAACAGGAGACGGAACACTAGTGAAGAATGAACACGACGAAGATGCACAAAAGCAACAATTGATGAAGGGGAACAAAACCTAACGGCTTAGTTTGGAATATTTTTTAGAAATTGTTATTGACACTTTAAATTTTTTGTTTTAAACTCTAATTTTTTTTATAATAAAAAGAAAAATATGTTTGTGAGGAGTGCATAATGGGATATTGAGACTCTAAGGAGGCCTAAGGCCATCTACAACCGAACGAGGGCCAAAGGACTCGTTTTAGTGCCCTCCAAGATATTAATATTTTAATGAACAGTACAGGGTCGTATTTGCCTCCATCTCCAACCAAGGGCTAAGGGGTCATAGGGCACATTTTAGCTCTGTCATAAAAAACCGTTTCCAACCGAGGATCAAATATAATTTATTATTTAAATTTAATGTTGTTTCATGTTACTTAATCTAATTTAATGTTGTATAATGGCTTAGAAAGTTATAGGAAAAAAATATAATTTAAAAAAAAAATTGTAAAAAAAACAAAAAAAAAAGGCCTACCATTCCTGTCAGATATAACCGACAGGAATATATTTATATTGATGTTTGTTATATCCGACAGGAATACTCAAATTTATGGTCCAGCCTGGGGCTGGCTGGCTCATTTGGACCAGCTGGTTGGCTCTTTTTTGTCCATTGGGGCCGCCCTTTGACCTAGCCCTCGGTTGGAGACGGTTTTCGGACTATTTTTAGCCCTCTGACCCTCTGAACCCTTCGGTTGGAGATGGCCTAATCTTCATCAGCTCGACTCGATTGATTTGTTCTTTGCCATTTTGTCACTCATTGCTTAATATATATTTTACTTTCTTTAACAAGGGCAGATAGCCAATCATTGATAAGAAAATTGGATAGTTGGGAAGAATGATGAAATTAAAAATGCCAGTATATATATATATATATACTGCGTTATTTGGCAAACATAAGATCAAACTCCACCAAATCCACGGTACATGCGCATATGATATATATAAGCCGTCACCATTGAATATTAAAATTTGTATGTACCAAGTTAATCCAATCTCACATTCTTTTTTCCATACGATGATCATATTGTTAGATGATGTTGTGAAACCGTGTATTATAATATGGGTAAACGATATAACTAAAATTTTATAAATCTAGGGTATAGTATCTCTAACACTAAAATGGTACAATGTGCAACAAAAATATATTAGTAACATTCCGTGGTAGTATGACAATCAAACCGAAAAATTGATACTCATTAGTAATTAAGGCACAAGTAGTTTAATCTCCAATTACCAAGAAAAAGGACATGAAATTTGGTGGCAACGAGACCAAAAAAATTATGTGCTGTCACAGGCTACCTTCAAACATAATCCATCACCAAAGTACAAAAACATTCGAGATATGGGATTTTCTTTACTTGTCTTACGAGGAACAACTTTAACTGCTCATACTAGTTCCAATGTTAAAGAAAGGATATAGAATCGCCTACAAGCATGGTAGTTGGACGTCACCTTGCAATTTCTTATCTTGCACTAGGTCCACAAAGTTGAAGTTGGGGGTGGAGGCCTATAAATTTCAAATCACAGTTTTGTAATTGCCACCACATTCAAATCAAGTTTCTTCCTCCAAATTACTACAAGTTGAAGCTCAGTTGCAACGAAAATGGGGTCGATTCGATTTTCTGGGATTTTGGTTTCATGTCTTCTGGTGATCATAGGCTTCAGTGAAGCTCAGTTGCAATTGGGATTTTATTCCAAGAACTGCCCAAAAGCAGAGAAGATTGTGAAAGACTACGTCGAGGAGCATATCCACAATGCACCCTCACTTGCAGCTGCTCTCATAAGGTTGCACTTCCATGATTGCTTTGTCAGGGTATGTGACCATCTTCTTCTTTTTACAGACCAACATTCTCTGCAACTGTATTGTTAGGGTTAGAGTTGTAATTTGGAACTAATGAATGCTTGTTGCTTATTAGGGTTGTGATGCATCCGTTCTTCTGAACTCGACTTCAAGTAACCAAGCTGAAAAAGATGCTCCCCCAAATCTAACCCTTCGAGGGTTTGACTTCATTGACAGAATAAAGAGCCGACTTGAAGCTCAATGCACTGCAGTAGTTTCCTGCGCAGATGTTATTGCTTTGGGAGCAAGAGATTCCATTGTTGCAACAGTGAGATCTCCAACCTACCATCAAAGTTCAAAAACCAAAATAATCAAACGTAGTCCCAATTTATTAGATTTTCATCGTTGTTTGGTGTGTAGGGAGGTCCAACTTGGAAGGTTCCAACAGGTAGAAGAGATGGGGTGATCGCAAGGAGGGCAGAAGCCTTGGCCAACATCCCAACCCCATTTTCCAACTTGAGCACTCTCCGAAGAACTTTTGCCAACGTGGGTCTTGATTTGAAGGACTTGGTCTTGCTATCTGGTAAAGCTAATTCTTAAAATATACAGAACAATGTTCTCTTATCAGACTTATGTTGTCACACCATAAATCAAGATCACATATTATAAACGATAGTTAACTTGATCAATAAGTCAAATTTTATAGTCTAACTAACATACAATAACTAGTGGCATTAGTTGCACAGAATAAAGTGGATAAAAAATCAATTAGTAGTTAATAGGTTGCTAAAGGCATGTCAGTGGCTAATGGGCTTATGCACCTAATCACACCACATGGGTTAATTTGCTTCTTTTTTTTTTTTCTTTTTTTCAGGTGCTCACACAATTGGCGTCTCTCATTGCCCATCATTTTCAAACCGCCTTTACAATTTCACCGGAGTGGGTGACCAGGACCCGGCTTTGAACACCCAATACGCAGCCAATCTCAAGGCCAACAAGTGCAAAACTCCAACCGATAACACCACAATTGTTGAGATGGACCCTGGAAGCTTCCGTACTTTTGACCGTAGCTACTACACACTTTTGCTCAAAAGGCGAGGGCTGTTTGAATCCGATGCTGCTTTGACAACCAGCTCAACCACTCTTAATTATATCAACCGGCTGCTCAAAGGTTCACTGCAGAACTTCTACGACGAGTTTGGGAAGTCCATGGAGAAAATGGGTCGGATTAACGTTAAGACTGGATCGGCTGGTGAGATTAGGAAGCAGTGTTCAGTTGTGAATAGCTAGAAAATGGAAATCTTTGGTTAATTTTCAGTGTTTTATTTTTTTTATTTTATTTTTATTTGGTGTGATAAAAATGGCAATGTTCGTGAATTGTTTTGTATTAATAAAGTTGAGGTCCATTTGGAGTGTTGCTTTTTCTTGTCATTGTCTTCGTGTACGTAAATACCAAATCATTATAAAAAGGGGATACTTTAATGTTTAATCACTACTTTAACGACGTGATTTGATCACTACTTTAATGTTTAATCACGAAAAAAATTCACTTAGTATTGTTTAGCCATAATAAATTTAAAATTTTGGTGAAACGATTATGCATCATTCTATATGCTTAATCTATTACAGACTTCTGAAATTTTAGTTAATAACTTAATACGACGCTAATTAATTACACATTTAGGCTCATTTCCACAATAATTTCCATCATATGACTTTTTTTTCAATTTGTATCTATAGATCATTGTTAAAAAACATTCGTCCAAATTGAAAATCATTTATACAGCCATTTGATTATTACAGTGAAATAATATTATACTATAATTTCACCAAAAAAAAAACAAAAAACAAAAAACGAAAGCTAGAACTGACACTGGGCTTTTAGGGTTTGGTTCTTAAAATGGGCTTGAACTCTTTCATTTGGCCCATTTTTTGGTATAGCCGTCAAAACCCTAAACCCCAACCCCAATTTCCATCACTCGCGTAAACCCTAAGCCTATATATATATATACAACCAACTTTCATCTCCCGTCTCTGCAACCTCCCATCCCTTCGCCTCTGCCGCCATTACTGGCCGAAGTTTTCTTAGATACCAAAATCTAGGGTTTTGAATCGAATTCAAATTTGTGCAATTCTCTGTGTTTCTGTCAAGTGAGAAGTGTGCGGTGATGAGGCAATTTTGTGGACTAGAGTTTATGATCTGGGTTCTTCTCCCAAAAGTTTGATTACAAACCCTTGGCTGTCTGAGCACACCTTCTCCTTCTCTTCTCTTCTTTTCCCAATCCAATTTCGAATTTAAGAAATTGCTTTTCAATGATTACCCATCTCATCTTTTTGGTTTTTATCAATAACCCATAAATTTGTTTTGTCTAATCCTGCAAAAAATTAGGGTTTTTGGTATGATTTGTTTGGTCTAATCCAGCAAAGTTAGGGTTTTTGGTGAAATTGGGGCTTATGATGATAACATACAATTATCTTAGCGGATTTCAGTGAGCCCTCTTGGTCAATGATCTGATTGTTACACACACTGAGGCTCAAATTTAAATATATATTTTTTTCATGTACTTTTTTTTTTAGATTAATTAATTTTGGAAATTGTGAATGTTTTGATTTATGGATTGTGGTTGCAATGATGAGATTAAACACTTGGACGTGTTTTGGGCAGTGGACGAGGCCTCTTTAGGGGTTCTTGCCGTGAGCTCATCTAACAAAACGACTTCTCCTTCCACTGAGCTCCCACTCCCGGTAACATTTTTGAATTCATGTTAAAATATTTTTGTTAATTTTTGGATGAAATTGTAATAAAGATTTGAAACTTGCGTCCATTACCAATTCGAGAGGATTATTTGGTTCCTCCTGATGTAATGGCTCGGACGCCAAATTGATTATTGTGGCCATTCTGATCAGTGGATTCGCAATGCCATTGGATCCGGGAAACTCCACATACATGCCAATAGTCAAAAGTGCTTTTGCATTCTTATAAAAGAACGATGAACAAATTATCCTAAACAAATCAACCAATAAAAGTGCTTTTGACTAATGGTCTTAAAGATTGTAAACCGAGAGGGGCTTTTCTCCTTATGTACTTGTACCAAGAGAAGGATTCAAAACAAAACTCAGTGTCCTTGATCTTCATTTTGGCCAAAACGGTGTAGCCAGATGGAAATAACCGAGAAGTTTACTGTCCGGACGTAGTTTTCTGTCGACAGATCTGCTTACCGAGCCCCATCACCGTCGATTAAACTCACGGTTTTAGGGTCGGACCGTGGGACTATTGAAAATTTTGTACCAAAAGTTTAAGAGCCTTTGTAACTTGAACTAGTATTTACAAAATCAGAGAAACATTCTGTTGATCAAAGGGCAAAAACGGCTTAAAAGTACAGGTAATGCAACACAAACTGTATAAAACGAAAATAACAAAGGCAGTTGGCCGCCTCCGACGGGCAACTGCGAAAATCCACACCAATTGGTTGGCAGTATAATGGATTCAGATATTTGGGTGGGAGGAAAAAAAAAACTCTACTTCTAGTACATTTTCCCTCGGGTAATCGGTAGTATTGCTCAACAACAAAGAATCACATGGTGTATATTTCTGAGCTTTACTTCCTCTTGGATGCAAGATAGATGCCTGATACTATGGCCACCCCAGTTACCGCGACACCCAAAGATTTAAGGATCCTTGCGGTGGTAAAAAAGGACTTTTGTGATGGAATTACCATAAGATCCTTCACCTGCAATACATGGAAAAACAGAGCACGGAAGTTTAGAGACAAATTGTAGGAAATACTTGTCAAAAAATGCAAACACATACTTTCTATTCAAGAAACCATCAACGAAAAATCAGATCCAGAAAGCAAATCTAAGGAGCATTATTGGGAAAGGAACTGATTTTCCTGTATAACCACTACCGATGAGTGGGATAAGATAAAAACTATAAAGATTATTATTGTTCTTTTTGAAACGGAACTATAAAGATTATTCAAAAGGAAGGATTCACCAACCACAACAGGCTGCTGCCAATGCTTCTTAATTCCTTGGAGGTGCCCCTTTCCCACTACTGCAACTACTGAACGATGCTCGCTGGCAATTCTCAGTAATGTAGATGACATGTACCTAAATGTCCAACCATTAAAATCAAGCAATCAGATCAACAAAACAATAAGAATTTATGAAAATCAGTTATGGTCCACAAATCAAAATGAAATTTGTTTATCTAAACACCCCAACCTCCACAAGCATACATGGAGCTCGTATTTGGATCATTTGAAATAGTTAATATAAACCAATAACATCATCAGCATCGTTCCTTAGTCTACATCTGAATTACTTACTTGTTTACTAACTAAACCTCTGTGATCAAGAAAATGTTCACGGTATAAGGGCTGAAATGAAGCAGATTACTGTGATAGGACAAAGGTATACAGATGTGGCATCATCTTTTGATCTTAGCATTAGTTTGATTGAATAGTTAACTCAGAAGAATACTTACTGATCTCGCTCATGTACGAGTGTTTCCATTAGAGTGGGGTACTCCTTGCTCATCTCTTGAATCACAAGCGTCAGCATGTCAACATCATCCATTTCCTTAAGCTGAATATACGCAAGAACAAATCATTAGTCCCAAGAAACTAAACATTAGCAGCATGGAGGAGAAGTGGTTGTCTTTCAACAAATCAAGTAGATGTTTACCATACTATTAAGAGCATCGGGACTTGGTAGAAAGACAGCTTGGAAAAGTAAGGAATATAGCAGTTTTATCTTATGCCAAAGTGGCATCTTTGCCCACGTCCTTCGTAAGGTAATCTGTTTCAGTCAGTGTAAAGTCATATATCAAAGTAGTTCTTCACCAGGGTAATTATACACAGTCTGAAATACAGGCAGATAAGTATGGAAAGCCAGCTTAAAGATGAGTTATTGTAGCAGGGTTGGTGTAAAAAAGAACAAAGAAACATAAAAGACAGACAATTAACATGCAAATATGCAATAGATATTAGAATTTTGAAACTGCCACCAAATTTGCAAGGAACGGACATGAAAGAGGACTTCGGGAATAAACATTCCAAAAGTCTGGTTTACAGTTTCATCTAGAGTGCACTTTGTCAACAAAAAAGCAAAGCTATGGCATTCGATTGGAAGAAATCTCATCATAATCAGCCTTTAAAATGAAATTGCACTATCATTACACATCAAAATTACTTGTGTAGCTGATAAATGTTTCTTCGGTCAAAGGGTGGAAAGTAGCCAGGGGTGCATTGGGCAGGCTGCAATTGATAGATATCAGAACACCAAAATGATAAGGTATAATGTATCATACCTGCACTGGGCGATCACCAAGTATCACCCTACCACCATACTTCATTGCTTCTTCATATGCTACACGAAACTCAGCACCGGGAAACACCTCAAGCCTACTTGAAACCTAGCAGAAAAATGACACGAAAATTCCACCGCTTGAATATACTGAGAACATATGGAAATTATGCTTGGTATCGTTGGATCAAAGATGAAAACATGCCTTTGCAAGGAACCAGCTGTAAACAATGCCAAAGGCATTGTGCTTTTTCTTCCACATTTCAATCATTTCTCCCATCGTCGGTACCTGATGAATTAAATGCATTGGTAATCATGTTTGGTTATTCAAAAATTAACGCCAAACCAGAACATAGACTCAGACCTTCAAATTCTGAGGGGTGAGTGCCGCCACTCGACTCGAGCACAACTCCAAGAAGACAACCTACATTAATCACACGAAAATTCGTAAACTTTATTATAATTTCATGACATTGTTATCAGAATTAACTTAATATAAACCTTATTAAGCAAGTTTCAAAACGGATTAAGCACCTCTGGTTTCAAATAGCTGATCACGGCTTCAACTTCTCTGCACGACTCCTACAAACCACACACAAAACCAAAGACCAAAGCTTTCAGTTCAAATTTACTCACCAACCAAACAGAAATTGGCCACTTCGAATTTTCTCACCAACCAAACAGGAATTGAATTCTCTTACCACCGAAACGTGTGCCGTTCCAACCAGATGCACGTCGCAAACGCCGCCCTCAGCCGTGGACTCACAAGTGAGCACCACCACGCTCCTCGACAGCTCCTCAGGAAGAAACCTCCTCTGTTCGAAACTCTCAGCCACGGCGGTCATCGAAATGCCGTCGTCGTACTCATCCCTCGGCGCATCGACGCCTACGATGCTATCGGACAAATCCTCAATCATAGGGTTCTCGACGTGGACAAAGTTTTCGGCTGACGCCGGGTCGGGCAAAGGTGATTCCGCGTCCATCAGGGGGCGTATCGGTTCGCGCTGACGCAGACCGCCGTCGATGGTAGAGGACGCAAATCTGAGATTCCTGACGGTGGAGAATTGCGCGAGGGAGTTCAGAGAACGGCGGAGAGAGAGGAAGACGCAGCCGGACTCGGGCGAGTAGAGTGAGGCGACCAGGCGGGTCGAGCGAATCATAACATTGCTGTCAAGGCCTGGACCGTGCGCTACTGGTGAATGCCTATATATGATCTGATGGGGACACGTGTACGGTCAGTGATGAAGTAGTATTGTAAGTATATATATAAGGGGCTTCCCTTTCTTCCTTTCTCTGCAACTTAGCTCTTACGCTTCCGATATTCTGATTGGGGAGATGGCGGAGAGGAAGCTGTTCAAGACGAAGCTGTGCGTTTTGTATCAGAGAGGGCGGTGCGCGCGGCAGAGCTGCTCGTTTGCTCACGGGGAGGCGGAGCTCCGTCGCTTCTCGGGCGGATCCTTTCACGGTAATATTAATATTTGCTTCACGTTGGTTTTTTTCTCTTCAGTGACCTACTCAGAAGCTCTGCTTATCTTATGAAAGTGGGTTTTTTATTTTTTATTTTTTATTTTTGGGTTGAAGATGAACTTGTAACTGTATTGGGGTTGCACAGAATTACAATTTACTGTCAAATTTTGATAATTTATAGTAATTTTTGTAGATTTTAAGTCATACGTTTGCATATTTTTCTTTGAAACTACATAATTTACTGTAATTTTAAGGGATAACTTGATATAGATCCAATTTTGTGAGCCATTAGTAGAATTAGTCCACTTCATTGAAATAGGTCCAATAATTGAGATTCCATATATGTTTATTTATGGTTTGTACCATATTTACCCCTTAGGCTTACGAATTGTAGTAAATACACAAAATTTCTTAATTATGAGATAATTTGTGGTTTAACTAATCCCTTAATTGTAGGATTAGTTATAGCCGTATAATCACCTCAACCCCCAGTATGTTTCATCCCTCATTTTTTCCTTCTTCCAAACAATTCCCTCTATCAATCCTCCTCTTTTTTGTCTCTTCTTTTCATGGGTGATATTTTTGTGTTCTTCCCTCCAAATTCGTTCCTTTAATGGAGGTATATTATATCATATTTATATTTTTATGTTCCGCCATGTAGGTTGCCAGCATTTTTCTTCCAATACAATAGGTAGTTTATTTTTGTTTTGCAGGTAGATTATATCTGCTTTGTAGGTATAAAACATTTTCTTCCTATACAATAGGTAGGTAGTTACTAGATTATATTGGTCTTGTTTTCTTCATAAATAGTAGGTAGTTACTAGATAATATTTTAGTTTGAGTATTTAAATATTCAAAATTTAAAAACTGAATAAATGATAAAAAAAATTAAAGAATTTAAATATTTTTATCTGAAAGGGTAAAATTGATATCAAAATATGTAATTGGATAACTGGACTCGGTCCCAAAAACTATCTAAGTTTTTGGACCTAGATCCAAAAGCCCCTAATTTTAATGCATTCAAGTGATTAACTGCTCTCTCTCTCTCTCTCTCTCTCTCTCTCTCTGTATGTTGGAATTGTCTTCTGTTTTATGATCATCTAATGCAATCCTTCCCATGTTGGAAACAATGATGTGTCTGCAATTCGGATAATATATTATTTTCGTGCGATGGAGCAAATGGGAGCAAGTATTTTTACAGACTCGGGAGTCGGGAGTTAAAGTACTATTCCGGAAAGATTGCATATTTAGTCATTCAGTGGTTAGAGCTGCTATCAAAATCTCTGTGGGGAACCCAAGTTCATGTCAACTAGCAAGGTTATCGTATTGATAAAGTATGGATTGTCCCGGGTGGTTTATATTGTAGCAGATTCCAATTGTGGTATTTCTGTGGGGAACCTTGTCATTATGTTGCATCTTCGATATGCTATGATGGATCATCAGCGTTACATAGTTCTGGAATATATCTTCTTCTATAGAGTTAAGACACAAGATGGTTTCGTGAATATGCCTACTTTCTATTTGCTGCTTCTGCAGTTAATGAATTTCAAGGGGATTATGGTACTCTCTTTATTTGTAGTCTTGACTTATATCTTCAAGATATTTCCGAGATGGAGAAGAATGCTATTTTTATGGGAGTTCTGTCAGAAGAAACTAAATTATTACGTGTGCTTCAGATAATTTATATCTGTATCCTTATATGAAACCTTGGAGAATCTCTTGACCTTTCTGATTGCGGCTTTATACTATTGTTCTGATAATTTATATCTGTATCCTTTATGAAACCTTGGAGAATCTCTTGAACTTTCTGATTGCGGCTTTATACTATTGTTCAGCAAGATGACGGGAATCCCAATTCTCCTCTTTCCAGTGTTTCTCTGATATATGAAGGTTATCTTTAAGCTCACACATGGGTTTACTATATCAATTTCTTATATAAGACCAGTAGTTTCTACTGTGTATGGCCTCTTTGAAACTGGCAAGGATTCAACATTATTGTTCATTATTATGTTACTCATGTTATTCCACATGGTAAGCTTAGCCTCATTGTCACATAAGGGGTGCTCTCCTTGTTTCTTTAGACAGACGAATTAGTAGCTAGTTATTACATATGCTTTACGGAAAAGTTTTCTTCACTCTCTGTAGGTGGGCGGGACTCTGGAGGCGATGACTTGAGGGATAGGCTTGACAGAAGGCATTCTCCGCAGCAAAGTTATTCACCAGAGAGACATATAAGAGGCCGTCATATACTTCGTGGTTAGGAAGCACTCTTACTTAAATCTTCCGTTGTATTGTTTTCCATATTTTTCTTTCTTTAGTTATGCCTAACAGTAACACATTTGAGCAAAGTTTGGTGCAGCATCATGTAACTGTTAAGTCTGTTATCGAACGTATTTTGGTTTATAGTTCCTTTTTTTTACTTTTCATAAAGTCTGACTACTGTATTTTTTTCCCTACAACTGTCTTGGCGGAAATGAAACTACAGAATATAGTCCATCCAGGTCCCTTGAGAGAGAAAGGCAAGTTAAATAAATGGATCCCTTTGCAATTTTCTTCTCTTTTATTTTCTCAACCTCCAGCTCTTTGATTATAGTGGGGAATTCGTTTCTATATATTCTTTCTTTGTGAATGCCACACATGTTGAGCATTTATCCTTCTAATGATCTACTCTTTATAAACAGCACAAAAAAAAAAAAAAAAAAAAAAACAAATTCTTTCACTTTAATTTTTCCTGATCACTTTAATTTTTCATTTTAAATTCATTGGGGAACAGCAAAAGAAGGAAGAAACACTTGGATGGCCAAAGCGATTTTTCTGGAAGTTTGAGAATTTCAAATGAGGCTGAAGATGAAGTTAAAGAAGCAAATATTAAACTTAGTTCGACGGGTGTTCGTGAGGCGCAGGTCTGAAATTCTGTTCAAAAGTTTTCATCACGAGTTCATCTATGCTTTCTAATCTTGGTTGAGATTCTGTTTTGATATTCTTCCTTGGAACTTGGAGCAGTTAAAGCAATTGCAGTCAGAGATCGACGTGCTTGATAACCGTAAATCTCAATTAGGGGTCAGTTCCAATTACCCAAACTTATGTTTTTTATTGGTCAACAAAATTGTGATTTTTGCAAGTTAATTTTCATTTATGTAAATGTGAATATGCCAATCTCATTTTCAATGGTCTTTTGGGCAACTTCTTGTGGACATTGTTACTGAAAATAATTGATAAAAAAAAAAGTTTGTCAAAATGATACCATGCTGTTGTAGCACTAGTCTGTAAAAAAAAAAAAAATTATGTATTTTGCATTTTCGGTCGTGCTGTTGTCTCTTGCAAGCTGTTTTAGGTGTATCTTATTCGGTAGATATCACTTTACTTTCATCAAGATGGTGGGAATATAATGTTGTATTAAAGCTTTTCAGATAGTTATTGAGTACTTTTTTTTTTTTTGAAAAATCTGCCTTTTGGTCTTTCTTTCTGTTTTCTCATTGTTATTAAACTGTTTGCTTATTTCGGATTTCTGCCATGATTTATTGAATGTCCGTTAGTTACACTTTTTGCGTGCAATGCGTTTGTTATTTTTCAGGTTCACGTGGAAGAGAAGTCTCAAGAAGTGGATAGTCTCACTTCTAAAATTAAGGAGCTTGAGGCTCAATTATTCAAAGAGAAAGAGGAATGTAAGAGGTACTGAATAGAGTCTAAGGAATTTGTGTTGCCTGCTACAGGGTAGCATGTTTAGGGAAGTCTTACTCACTGATTGATCTTTCTTCCTCTTCTCCGGGATTTCAAAATTTCAGGATTTCCTACAAGGTGAATAAGTTTGTAAAAGCACATTCTCGTCATTCAAAGATACAAGACCAACTAAAGAGGCAAGAATTTTTTTTAATATTGTAAACACCTTTGGTTGGTTTGGCATTCAGTCATTATTGGAGTTTGTAGAGAGCTCTTGGAATTTGATAATTGTATTGAAATCTGTAGATCACAGGTCCGACTTAATAAGTTGGGAGATCAGCTTGCCTTAGATATTTATGTAACTGATGCCAATGAAGAGGATTCAAGCATTAATATTGTTAGTGATGGTGACACTACTGGTTTTCCAGTCAACCCCCATAATGAGCAGCTGCATGATGCTTCTCCAAGCAAGAAAAGGCTGGATGCTATTAGGGATACCGCCAAAGAATCAAAACAAAGTGGTAGGCATTTACATTTCCATGTATGGGGTTTTGTGGATTTGATGAAATATATAGTTTGTTCTTCTCTCAGCTTTGAAGTTTTATATATCAACCTCCTTTTTGTTTGTTGAAAGCAGAATAAGTATAAATAAAAGCCCTTTAGAGTTTAGAGTCTCATCATTTGTGGGTGGTTTTGTTTATTTTCTGTGTGCACCATTCTTAGACATGTTTAGGTTCTTTTCAAAGAACAAATAGATTTTGCTAATTTAATGATTTTTAGCTTATCAGTTTTTCTTCAAAATTCATGTGCATCATTTGATTACTTGGACTTTGGACTATATTGTTGAAGTTGTTTCCGTAATGGATGCCATGTGCGGTTTTTATTATGGGTGCTCACACTTTAGAGATGTGTACCAGCTCATCCAACAAGAGGACATCTGACAACATCTAGCAGACCAAAGAAGCTCTCTCGGTGGAGCATACACCCTACTCAATCAAATTTTGACAAGGAGGAGCCAGTGAACAATGGAATTGGTGGTCCAAAGGTTTTAGCAAAGCAAGGCAAACATGACAGGAGAAAGACTGCTTCCTCAGGCATCCTCTCTGCAGATAAGGTGCATCTTTGTACTTTCTATGGGAAATTTGTTTAATTGCTATACAGATACAGTGGGCATAATATTTGCTGAAGCCAGCAGCTGTATATTTTAGGCAATTTGAAATTCCTGATTCAGTTTAACTCCACTGACATTGCTGCATGCTCTCAATTAATTTAATCTCACGTCTTTTGTGTCAGAATGAGTTGCCTCTGAACTTCGTCCTCTTTTTCAACCCTGAACTAACATTTTTCCACCTTGAACGAAAGCTACGCATGTATGCCTTAAATAAAGGTGCAGCTGATATTAATACTTGCACTGAAATCTTTTGGACAAATGTGTAGTTAAAGAGTTCGGAGTCAGGACCTGTCGTACCCTCTACCAGTATGGCTGCCCACGCAGTTGACACAGAAGTTGAATTTGAACTGGAGGATAAAAGTGAGATGGTTGAGAATGGTTCTGCTAGAATTGAGGAAGGAGCTGCATATGAGAGAGGACGCTTTTCATTTCACCTTCCTCCACCACCTCCAATCCTTAGAAATAACCATTCGCAGGTCAGTATTTTTCGTGCGCTTTTCATTGTTTATGATTGCTTATTGAAGTTCATTGTTCATGCACCCTCTCGCGTGACATTCTGGCTTTCAACGCAGTGGATATCATCTGTCAAGTATTCAGATCATGCCGTGATTATATTTCATTCTTTTGTCAAATGTTCTTTTCAGTGTCTAACGGCATCTCATTTTTTAATGCAGCATGAGGAGATGATGAGATTATAGACGTGCAGGGAGTTGAGTAGGAGATGGTGCAAGTATTTAGCAGTGAGAAGATAAATTTAGTTCAAGTATTAGCTGTTAGAGACTCGTGTATCTCCTACATCTGATGCCGGCTTTGCAAAGTTGTTTAAGTGAATGAACACGGGTCGATAAACAGAAGCACTGTTAATGTATTTGGTGTACAATCTTCCTCGTTGCGTTACATGGAGTTTATAACTACATGTATATTTTTAAGGCTTGATGGATCAAGCTTGATTGCATAGCTCAGTGTAGTAACATACGAATATATTCTTTCTTTTCGAAGATTATTTTCTTTTCTTTTCAGCGTTCGTCGGAGTCTCGTTTTCTAATGCAGTTTAAGGGGAGGGGGATGGTGGGATTATAGATGTGCAGGGAGTTGATCAGGTGACGCTGCACTTTCCCTCTCGTTCCCATATATTTCCGGTCGTCTTTCTTTTGCTTTGCAAGGATCAGTGCACTTAACAGAAGCAGTAACAATGATCAGTTGAACCAAGATCAAATTCAGTAACATCTTTGGTGTATGAAACATGAATCGAACGATGCTGAAACATGAATGGGAAAACGAGGAAGCACCAACATAAAACCAGAAAATTAAATGGTTGACAAACATGCAGTTTCATCACCAGAAAACTAAATGGTTGACAGATTTATTCTTTTACTATTACAAAGGGATGAAAAATATAAAAAAACAATCTTCGTTTTGAATCCTCTTGGACCTATCTAGCAGTGTTTATGGCTCTTCTTCTAAGCATTTCGGGCACCTGCACTTAAAACCATAATCTGCAAGTAATGACTGCCTCTCTTTGTAAGGAAGGTCTTCATCGACATAAGAAATGGTAACCTGGAAAAATTCAAAGTGATCATCAGCATTTGCACACAAGTTCGATAAAAGGATATTGCGACCTTATAAATGGCATACTAGACCGAGTTGGACATTCACTTTCGTACCTCTTCCCCCTCGGAAATCGGCTTAAGTGCAATTATGGTTGCTTGGCCATCTCGGTCCTGGTAATGGAGAACAAGCATGAATGCAGACGCACAAAAATTAATTTAGGAATGCTTTAAAAAGTTGCAGATGGTGTTTGCTTTAAACCGTGGTTTTGTAAGAAGATCTCAATTACTATATGGAACTTGGAAGTTTACATACCTCCTCTCTTTTGAATGCTTTCGCATTAGGACTACAAGAATGATTCATACAACTCTGCAAAGGATAGAACGCTGTGCCTAAAACAAAATTGACAAAACATTGGAAGTTAATATTTCTCCTCGCCACACTGAGAGAAACAATTCCACGTTTGTTGACCATTAGCTTTTAAAATAGTTTGTAAGGCAAATATAACAGCAACAAAATTTATATATCCGACATGCAAAGAATGTATGCTCTACAAGCACCAATGATCTCCTAGTAAGAACAATGAGAGCTAAATTCTACCACGACAAGTTCATGCTTACTGAACACCGTTAACCCCAAGGAGGTAGTCCAGCGTCGAGAATAAATATGTGTGCAGGCAGAAACAAGCATTGAGGTAGTCCAGCACCAAGAAGAATAAAGTACAAAAGAACAGCTTAAAAGATTAATACAAAGTAAATTGGCGAACATGTAACGTATAATGGGGAAGAAACTGCAAAAGAGCATGATACCTTGGCAACAAACAGAATAGTCATCACCAAGAGCATCCAAAAATGGTCGTGTAATAACCTCAACTTCTTTCTGTTATGAGTAGCAGGAAAATGGTATCAGAACATCCAAATTTTCGAATAAATTAGGTGAAAAGTATGACTTCTAACCTTTTCAGGATTCGGAAGATCATCAATGTACAAAAAATAATCTTCCACTGGAGATACTACAACCAAATCACTGAAACAAAGTGAAATGAAAGTAAGAGCCTGATGACTCAAGCAAATTATTAAAGCAATTTGACAAAGCGCATGAATTACTTCAACCACCATTGCTGGCACCATTTTGGATGCATGCACAGTTTACATATTCAATGGACGAGACAGGAAAGGGGATAAACCCTTGGCAAATTCTGACTTACAGATTATTCAACTCAAACATGGCAATTATATGCCCATAGATTTCGAGGGAGAATACTGGGAAGAGTCAAGGAGTTCAAATTTAACTGTCAGAAACAGTAAGCATGATTCTAATAAGAAAACATACGTCAAGTTCTAAAGTGGGTAGGATACTTGGTTTACATTCCTCATCAAAGATGGCTGCCTTCAGGAGTTCAAGTGACTGAAAGATTCAAATATGCAGTTAGAACTTCAAATAACAGAATATTATACCAGAGTCATCAAAGAATCTGCTAGTAATATTTTGGATCATGACGATTATATGAAATAAACATTAATTTGACTTGTTTGGAAGCTCACAATCCCAAATAAGAACATACAACATTTTCAAGAGATGACAACGGAATATAGTGCTCCAACTAGAATTTCTAAAACAACCTATCTAGTGGAGAGAGTACTACCGTGAATGCCAACTCTCTTATCTGCATCCTAAATGCAGCTTCATCAGAAGGTTCAACGTCAAATGGCAAGGCAATGCAGTCCCACCACCTAAGAGCAAATAAAATGTGAGAAAAGGAGGAGACAAGAAACCATCATGTAAACATTTGCAAAACTATTGCACACGTTTATTATGCAACTGATGCCACCTAAAGTGGAAAACTCATTAAGGTGATGTCGTACGAAGTGTACTAGTATTCCATACTTCTGCTCTATGCACGGAAAACACTTCTTCCTTTTCAAGGATAACATAAGGAGCAGTTAAGATCATTTACACAACAGCAAGTCTTCACTATATACATAATATAGCTACCTTCTCTTGTGTCCCACTGATATTGGTTTCCATGCTTTTAAGAGTAAAGATAGATAAGGGCTGCCTGCAACATTTGGTATATTCTCTCGGTCTTCAGAATAAGCCACTTTCAACTTCCTGTACTTCAATATGGTGGAAGACACTGCCTGAAAATAAACCAAGGAACTTGGTCAACTAATTGGACTTATATCATATCACATGGTATAAGACTTATGGAGCGTGACAAGAACAACATGTAACACATAAGGTACCACATACTCCATCATGCTTTCATATTATTCAAATTTCAAATAGTACGACAGAAAAGTAATGCTACCACCCATGGCGAACCATCCCAAAAACATATCATGACAAACTGAGACCAAATAGTCTAAAAGTATTGATCAGATAGTTTGCTACAAGTTCAGACCCATAAAAATAAAAGATTGGAATTAGAATTGCTGTTTGTCATAGAAGGTACCTTTGCAGCAAGGAGGAATATATCATTTGTGTCTGGTAAAAGCCAAAAAAAGAAGGATAAAATTAGAAGACGATAGTGGGAAAATGAATAAGAAGGTAGAGAAGATATAACCTACAAGGTACAACTCATCCTACCATTGGCATGCTGTATAAATTTTACAAGTGCCTCCCTAGAGATTGCTTTGGACCTCTCCCCAGTGCAAAGTAAGGAATGAGATAAATCCCAATCAGACTCTGCACATTGTTTGCTACAAGATATCGGCACAAGATAACAAGTTATTTATTGGGTACTTGATTCACCAAGAGATAGACCACAGTCCAATGAAAGCAAGTTCATTTATTATTCCAGTGCCATTGTCATAGTCCAACATGCTTCAAACATAAAAATTTGGCTTACCCACCTGCAGTAATAAGCTTCTTTACAGCCACCAGGACATGGAACAGCCGGAGGCAGTGAGAACTTATCGGAGTAAGGCAACTTTAGACCACCATTCATTACAGATTCCGCAATCCCTTTCGGAAGAGGAACTTTCTCTTTGTAAATAGAACTGCTAGGCCCTGAGTCATCCAAGTCTTCATCTTCAGCTGAGTAGTCCGCTTCACAGCAATCTCGGCCGGCAGAAACTCCCAATTCTTGCAAATAAAGTCTCCTCCCAATTTGAAGCTCAACAGAGCCAACGAAACGGAAACAGAAACTGCACACCAAACAATCAATCTGCAAAACCCAATTGAAAAAACACACTGAAAACTAAATTAAAATACCCAAAAGCAAAAGATAAAGTCTTTCATCAAAGAAATTCCAATTCTTGCAAATCAAGTCTCCTCCCAATTTCAAAGCTAAACAGAAGCAATGAAACGGAAACAAAAGCTACACACTAAAAACACCCAATTGCTATAAAAAACAAAAAACAAAAAAACAATGAAAACCGAAAAGACCGAGAAGCAAAAATTCAAACTTTGGATCAGAGAAAGTTAGAACTCAAGACCTTGTTGGAAGAATGCTGAAGACCCACAAGCATTTGGTCCTTGAGAAGAAGCTCTCCTTCTTTCAAGTCCGAGTCCGCGTACACACCTGAAGATCAAAAAGCATATTACAGATCGAAAAGAGTGATGGGAAACTTATAAAATGGGGGTTTTACCTTTCCCGAGCTCTCCGTTTTGTTTGACTGTGATGCCATTGCATTGCCTGCTGCTGGATTGAATGAGCTCGTTCAAGTACTCCTCGACGTCGGCGGGTGAAGGAGGTGTGAGAAGAGCAGAGATTTCAGTGCCCAGCTCTGCATCAATCGGGCAAACGATCTCCATCAAAACACACACAGTAGAAACAAGTGAGTTGCTCGCTGAATGCTAAATTGCTAACGGCGGAGAAAGGGGACGACTTGCGCCCTTTTTTCTTTTGTAAGTTAAAGGCCAATTTTATATTTGACAAAACCCAGTTTTTTCTTATAAATATTACAGATCAAAGGAGTCAAACTCAAATTATCCAAGCAAAAGTCATCAAGACTACTGATTAAAAACAGATTTTTTTCTCATATTTGCATAACACGTTACTTTGGTTTTGAGATTTGAAATCAATATAAGTGATATAACAAATATGCTCTCAATTTAATAAACAATATATCAAAATGATTTGACAAAAATTAAAAGTATTTTGACCATTCTATTATTATTTAATGCAGATTTTTCGAAGAATAATGAAAATAATTGATGATAAAGAAACTTTAAAAATATTCTAAAAAATTAATCAAGATATGTAATTTTTTTGTAATGCCACATAGCACTAAGTAGTAAAAAATTAATAGTTGAATTAAAAATAGAAAATTTTATAATTTTATAAATAAAATATAACCTCTAACATCTGTAACATTGTCACACCCTAAATGATGATTGTTTCATTTTATGTGAAAAAAACAAAAACAAAAAAAAGGATATATTTGCAAATTAAAAATAAAAAAAAAAAAAAAACCCTTTCTTTCATTTGCTTTGCCGACAAAATTAAGATATTTTCTTCACTTTATTATAAAGTCAAATTACGATTGTAGACCTTGTAATTTGGACAAACTTTACTTTGGTTTATGGAGTTTGCAATTTAGGGCTAGTTAAGTATATTTACAATGACTGAAATTGTTTTTAAAGGAAAACATTTTGCGGTTCTAATAGCACGATTGAAATGTATACTTCTTTTAGAAAACACTTCAAATATTTTTCTAGAATTCACTCGCATTTCACTAAGAATTGATTCCGAAAATATTTTCACCAAAAAACTTTCAGTCATTTTAAAAGTAATTTCAAACTTCCAACTTACGCACGGATAATAAGTTGCAAACAATAGCATTAACCATTTCATGAAAATTTTAAGTCGGAGTTTCGATTTGATCCAACAAATTTCAAACAATGGGATTGTCCCTTGAAACAGTGGGGTGATACAGAGCAAGTCTATCATCTGACTACCAACGACAGGATACAAAAATACACCGACAAGAAGACCGGCGTTTAGCATTGTTAAGCTGCAGCCGGAACTTCAAAAGTACGATCGACACAAAACCCGAATGTGGGGAAAAGAAAACCCTAATAGAAATCTAAACATTGTATTCTTATCTTTCGTTTCTCGGGGCGTCAAACAGGTCCAAAGAACTGTTCCAAGGATGGGGAGTTGAATGCATTAGAAGCAGCCCGTTCCGTTCTGGTAGGAGATATGTGAAGCTGATACTTGATAAACCTCTGTAACCAACAAAAATAAAGGAATAACTCAGATGACGGCCATGGAAATGAAGCGTACGCATCAGAACATCAGAACATGGGGAATGAAATCGAAGAATGTTGTGTGGACAAACTAGGTAAGTAATAAGAATATACAGATAATTGGAATATGATGTCAGGATTTGTGTCGATATGCCAATCTGGTTCCAATTGCCGAACAAAAGAAGTCCGTCCATTCTCTGTGCTACAGAAGAGAACCTGCAATCAAATCACAAGACTAAATAACGCAAGAAACAGAATGAAATAGCAGCATCCTGGCAAGTTGAAATGTACGGAAACTACTGAAAATTTGAAAATATCAGATGGGCATCTATAATTTGTGTCATGTCCTCTTAACGAAAACTAGATTGACAAGCTAGTAGCCTAGTAGTGAGAGTATATTGCACAGTTCGCTGCGCCATGCAAGACTAGTCATAGTAACTTCATTTATCAATTATAACAAAAACACTTCCAAATCTGACTAGAATATAATAAGACAATCAGGAAGGCACATCTCAATATGCTCGAAAAATATGCCTATTGGAAATATTAGGGCCCATTTGTTATTCAACTCAAATCCAGTTTTTAAAACTCAAAAACACTTTTTGAGTGTCAGGCCAAAAATTCTTGTTTGGTTGATTCATTCAAGAACACAACTCAAACCACAGTCAATTCGAAATTTGAGCAACTATTGGGCCTTCCTTCCAGGGTTGACCCCTAATCTTCTGCAAACCACAATCTCCGTACGTTATAACTCTTAATCTCATTCAACCCATATGGGAATAGTGAAATCCAAGATTATAAGTACTGGGGAATTTCCAAAATGACGAGAAAGCCAAAAACAACTGCATGCACACATAAACCAACAAGAAGCAAGTAGAATAACCAAAAGAGTTGGTGGGATTTTTAAAAGTTTAACTCATAATTCTATCAATCCATATACCTACCTTGTCTTTGGCCAAACCTCCAGATGTGAAAATCCCAGCATCTTCCAAAGCCACTAGAACCTTTTTCTGAAAGCAATAGGCAATATCGTTTCATAAATGGCAATGAGAATGAAAAGAAAAAGGCGAGGATAGACCACAACAGTTAAATACCATGAGCAAAAAAATGAAGTAAAACAACAATCAAGGAAACCTATTAAACTCATACAAAATTACAGAGCACAAGTAAAATGATTGAGACAGAGGCTTGCACGCACTTCACTTTCATCATCGAGAACTGTTTCCATGAGATACAGATCACAAAATTTTGTGATCTCCAAGAGTACTTCCAGCACTGAGTACCTCACAGTAACATGTTTCTGCCAGGAGCAACGTAAAAAGGCAATGTTAATCCTTTTTCGGTACCAATTTCTAGCAGCAAATTTACGGAAAGAATGTTGCTGGAAAGAAAATTAGAACACCTGAAGTTCCTCCGGGGTACTTTCCTCAAGGATTACTCCGAGTAAACGACAAGTTACCTACAGATAAGCTTAAAGGGTCAATTTGTTGATTCAAAATCAATAATATTCTTGCCTAAAAAGATCAAACAGATTCTCAGTATATTAAATTACTCCACAGGGTATCAAACACCAGCTAAATAGCCAGTATTGAACATTTGAAGCTTGGCGGTTTTAGTTGTGAAGTACAGGAACATCTAAAAGTAAAACCTTAGGTTCTGTAACTTCACCATGAAATTTTCACAACATGCAGTGAGACGCTGAAAAGCACTACACTTACCTTTCTTCCTTCACTCAGTTTCTGCTGAACTACTTGCCCCAAAGTAGGCTGTAATTAAAAGAAACGGCTTCAGCATAAACCATATTAATACAAAGTGGTAACCAAACCCATAAGGCAGACTCATAACTTGACAGTTACCTTTACTGGCTGAAAAAATTCATCAACAACGTTTTGGGTTCTGGAGTCCTCTGAAGATGAAACTCCCGGAGTTGTCAATGTTGCATTTGAATTTGAACTGACGCCAGAACTACTCGATGCAGGTGCCTGCCGCTTGGGTTGCCTTCTTTGAGGTCCACTCGGTGATCTCAGCAGCCTCCATGTGAAAACTATTGCGACAGCAAAGCCCGCAATTGCCCCAATAGAACGTGAATTCTGACACCACATAAAATTTCTTTAGACAACTCAACTTTTGCATTCCCATTCCAGCACTACTTTGATACTTCTAGACAAATATCACTTGACAGGGTTCGCATTAGCTTCACCTATCTCATGAGTATCTATCTCTTCACCTTAGTCAATTAAACTCATAGCATTGACAATCAGTTCAAAGCCAGTCATTGTCCAAAAAGTACACTAATGCGGTAACTACAGGTTCCTGAGTACTAACATAAATGAACCACGGTTCTTGAGTACACTACAAGACACGTCGCAGACAAAGACACGGACACAGACGCGGCTGCATGCATCACAATTCATAAAATGGAGATAAAGTAAAGGAGATTAAGCTTCACTAAGTCATTTGAACTGAAAAATCCACTGGCCCAACTCAAAATGTTCGCAAGTACATATCTTTTTTCCCTACACTAAAAAATATCAATATGGTTATATCCCCAAATTCCTCTAATTTCCTGTTATGGATCATTTACACACCAAAGTTTCTCAAAAAACCTACATCCCAAATCAATCCACATCAAAACAAACACCGAAATGGACCCTACTCAAATGAACAAACAAAATTTGGAACACAAATTGAAAACTCATGAAGCAATTGAAGATAATCGACAGAAAGGAACAATTTTTGACGGGAGATCCGTGAGAAAATTCGAAAAGATAACGAAAACAGGCACAAAATTGAGGTGCGAACCAGATTGTGGAGGGAGATCGGGAATAGACTGGACATCTTGACAGTGAGATAAGCCCCGAAGCGCTTGATGAGCTGAACCACCTCTTCCTTTGAAGACTCGGCCATGGTTTTAACCAACGAGAATTCGTCGTTTTGAGAAGCAAGTATTGGTGAAGAATCAGCTTGAAGACCTCAGGTCCTCCTTCCCATCATCGAACATGTATCTCTGGAATTTACAGAGAGCGAAAGATTGTGTCTTTCGTCAAAGACGAAAGTGAGAAAAGAGAGAGGTGATGCGAAACTGTGGATTTTTTATATTATTTTATATTATTTTTTATTATCTTCTCCTCTTGTGTTTAAGCTCTTTTTTTTTTAATGTGTTAATAAAAAATAAAACTTCCTTTGTTTTAAAGGCAAAGTTATCAACGAATCACAAAAGTTAGACGAAAGGTATGAGATATAATTTATGGAGAGATTTACAAATGACTACTTAAATCACAAAAAAGTTTGATATGTGAAATGCATCACATAAGTTTTGTAATGTTTGACATATGATATACATTTATAGTTGAAGTTTATTAGGCGGTCATTATTTAGTGAACCTGTTAATAAACAAGCATATGTAGATTCAACGTGTGGCTAGCATGCATAGCACGAGACAATGTTAACTTTAATCGCTTTAGTGGTTAATCAAAATACAAGATGGTTGATTACAAAACTTTTATCATTATATTAAAGTGCCGTTCCGATATAAAACGATATACATTAGTCTTTTATTATAGTCACTGTTTAGTTGACTTTTCAAACGATTAGAAACTTTGTTTAAGGACTAAGTGACTTGAAAACAAGTCTCTCTCTTTAATCTCGTTTATAACATTGATTTCATACCTTAAATCCCACAGACTCATTCATAGTATATTATCTCTATAATAAAAAGTCAAAACTCATGAATGAATGAAACTTGCCCGTTTAGATTCGATTCTCGTCAAAAACAAATTTGAACTCATTATTGTTAATCCATGATGAGGCTAAGTCCACATTAATGTAGATAATATCGTTTGTTCCAAAAAAAAAAAAAAAAAAAAAAAAACCTACTCTTTTGTTATTTAATTAATATAGAGTTGTTACAATATATGAATTGGCGTCAATTTATCAAATGACACAATAAATCAAAAACTGAAAATTGCAGAATGAATTTTGATCTATGTCCATTTTTACCAAATTAATGTCTGGGTTTGCTGTAATTAGGGTTTGTTCTTTGGAAAGGGTATCTATGCAGAGACATTGAATTAGGGTTTTTTCTGGCGTTTACCGCTAAGAAATTGGATTTGGATTTACAGGCTCAATTTGCAAATGAATTATGATTTTATTTTTTCCCTTTACAGGATCAAAACAGAAGCATAGAAATATTGGGGCTCTTCATCTGCTTCTTCTTCACCTTCTCTCTCCCCTCTCAAACCACACGGAAATACCAAACATTTTCGATAATATTAAAATTTAGGTTCGGTTTTGTTTTTTTAAATTCTATCCCGAAAGGGATCTGTTCATAATTCGAACCCAGGTGACCGATGGTATAGGGTGGTTTAACTACAAATGGAGAATGTTGGCATTTCAATCAAAAAAGAAATTTAAATTAGCTTAGCATTGTATTTCCCCATTTAGTTTTCTCTAGTATCTCAACATATTTGAATTTATCCATAGTAAACTTAAAATTTGATTCATTCACCAATGGTATTTTTTTAGTACAATCATATATTTTATACTAAAGCAGAGGAAGTTTGGTAAAATCACACAATGAACAAACCTAATTTGATATTGAATTCGTCATCCACGAAATTCGAACTAAGAACTCTCACTAATGTATTCACAAATGTCATCTAATATATGTGAGAAGGCGGTGATCGAATGATGATTCATATTGAACTAATTCGTACTTACATATCAATCTCATGATCGTTAACAGAAGAGTTTATCCTTTTATATACAAACATACAAAAGACAGGTATATAACCAACTGACCACCCTGAAAATTGAGAAAGGTGCACATCACTTTGTTTACATTCACCACAAGGACTTACATGACATGGGTTTCGTTACAGTGGCGTTTTGTGCCAATTAAATGAAAACATGCATATATTTTTGTCCATGTTCTTGTTTAATTGGCACAAGATATCACGTAGTGGTGTATCCATTGTGCTATGTAAGTTGTTCTCCATTCAAAATTAATATTACAAAAACCACATAAAGGTGATACTTCTAAGATATTGGCTGCACAAAATATAAGTGTTGCCTTGCACTCAAGAGAATTGAATTTAGTCCTTCATATATTGTTAGCAACATTTTCTAAATTTGGAAGGGATGTCAAAATGCCTTAATTAGAAGGGGTTAAATCTATCAATGGATGTCAAAATGCCTTGGACCTCATAAGATCTTACTTGCACTGAATATACAACTAGCAATATTTTAAGCCGATCACGTATTGCAGTTTGTATTAACTTTCCCGCACTGCAGTGTCTTATTAGTTTTGAATATTGTCACAGTGCTTGGAAGTAAAGGAAAAAAAGGGTAAATAAAGGAAAAAGGTTAACCAGGAGACATTAAAAAGAAAAATCAATCAGGGTCAGTCCACAATCTGAGGAAGTGAGGAACTCAGGGTAGCTTCTGATATCCGAGGTGGTAAGGAATTACTCTCTGCATTTTCTGGTATTTCAGGCACATCATCCACACCGTTGAGGACTAACAATGGCCTTTCAATCCTTCGGCATGCCCGTTCTGCAAGTTTTCTTTCTCCAAGTGGAAGCAATAGCTCTCGAAATCCCTAGAGCTCACCGTGACCCCGAAATCCAACAGGAAAAGCAACTCCAGTTCTAGTTTGTTTAGTTCAGCATTGCTCACTCCTCCGACGCGGGCGTAAAACGCATTGTTGTAGTGCCTGCATGTGCAAAATTTTGTAAACAGAAGCACAAACATAATCAAACGTAGAACCTCGGGCATGTGTTGCGAGGGAAGAACTGAACATAAGACCTCGGGAGCAGAGGTGAACGCTCGCTAATATATAAACAGTTGAGCTACAAGCCTCTTATTCGCACGTCTTTTTCTTAGAACTACAACAATTGGTGTCAATCTGAATCAAATGAATCAAAAATTGGAAATTCCAGCAAATCTTTGACACAAATCAAAATCCCCCAGTTCATGAAAATTAAAGAAGATGCAGGTATAAATACTTACACATCATCGAGCATCTTAGAAGCAACCATAACGCTTGTGACCAGCAGCCTATGCACGTTCAAGGACAACACAAGAGAGTCAGGGTGCTTATGAAGCAGCCTATCTATATACACATATCCAACCACAAAACATGATGGACTGCAATCTGTGTACTTGTACAGCCTCTCCAAGTAATTGGGTATGCTTATGCTCGGCCGCCTCATGCCGTGAAACACATCCAAGCTCTTCCCAATCCCCGCCGAGCCACAGCTCAGCCCATTGATTTGTTGACTCAGGTCATCTGCAAGCGTGTTATTTCGAGCCACCAGTTTTTCAAGAACAAAAGAGAGTAGGGTTAACACTCTCGGGATGCTTGGATCCGGCCGGCTATGGCGGTCCGTGAAATCGCCGGCGGCTAACATTTGGACATTAACTCATGACGGTTGGTGGTCTCTGGTGGGAAGTGTGTGTGGGTGGTTAATACTTGAAGAGGGTTTGGTCTTGCATGTGTGCATATTATCTGGGTTGAGGCCCTTGAGGCGTAAACGAATGACGAATTGGGTGTTTGCCACGTGTGCATAACACTGGAGATGAACTTTGATTGGCCAGCACCAAATGCATGAAATACTGTGGTGGAAATTCTTCAACAGCAGCACCATTGCTGTTGGTTCAAAATTTCATACATTCAGATATTGACGAGGAGTCAAAAGACGTGAGCAAAGCGTAGCCACATTGATTGGATCCGATGTGCTTTCTCAGTACACCAGAAGTTCGAATCCTTATCCCTAAGCTGAGTTAGTTTAAAGTAGAAAATCGCTTGTACAAAAATATCGAAGAGGAAGCATTATATGAATGTCGTTTCACAAAATGAGGTGCCGTATATATTCTCTCCTTAATGTTGCAATGTTGAACAGCCTAATCAATTTATAAACAAGGAACATTTTTCATTTGTTCATGTAAGTTGCAATTGAAGAAACAAAGGGCCCTCTAGGGGCACAAAATTATACAAAACTAGGGACGGCGAGGATTCGGGGAAGGCGATATTTGGTTAATGGTCTACCCGCTGTGGCCATTAGAGACGAGTAATCTGTCTTCCTCATTTGGATTGTCGGCCATGGAAAGCTGAATGTTTGATTTAGAGCTCATCTTGTTCACCTCGTTTTCTACACGGAAGAAAACCCATTGGAAGCGGCGGAAAATCTCCAAGGCAGTGATTGTGAATACGGTAAGGTAATTGTGGCGGAGATGGGAAGAGAGCTTGTAAGTCCAGGTACAACGCAGAATCAGGTTGCTACCTATCACCCAGAAGTAAACCTGCAACCCAATTCACATAATGATTTCAAGAGCAATCAATGAATGAGGATTGCTCTAGACACGTTAGCTCTAAGGACGAGTTAAGTGTTACCCATTTCCGTCCATGTACGAGGTTTGACAAGAATTGTTGCTTGCTGAACTTGAAAATCCGAGTGAAACCACTGAGAAAAGGGAAAAAGATAATTAAAGAGCATGACAAAATAGTATTCAGGATGCAGCAAGTTCTAAGCACGAAGAATCCAAGTTCTCATATGCCCCGTAACACCTTTTCACTGATTTACAAAGAAGCAAACAATCGTCAAACAGCATGGAAAATTAAGTTTCCCATTGTATGGTATGATCATGAGTTCATTCTAAATCTGGTTGCGTGTGGAGTGAATCTGTGGTAATTGTATGAACAAAAACATTTCACATACCTTAAGTCCCAATCTCTAGTCACATCCCAGTAGAACGAGTACAAAGAGTTCAAAACACCTGAGAGAAGCCAGAGGGGCCGATAAAAGGTCGACCACTTTTCAGGGAAGACATGATATTTGAGGGCTGAAAGAAAAATCACAGGTACTGCAGTAGAATACTTCAAAGCTGAAACCAGAAGCAGATAAAAATTAGTAGTGTAATGAAGCAACAAATCCATCAATAATTCATAACAAACCAGCAGCTATTCAGAAACATAGAAATAGAGATTATAAAGAGAAGCAACACAGATATTACAGAGACCATTAAAGATCTTGCCAACCACACTTAAGAGAGTGGGCGCAGAATAAGAATTGCAAGATCACATGCTAAAATTCGCATGCACCACAGAGTCAAGATTGCCGGATGTTTTTACATTATTTGATGGTCATCTCTAATAGGAAGAAATATGGCCAAACAAATTAAGGAAAGAATTTGAGGCCAATGAGAACCATTGAAGGAAAAATGTGTAAGAAAGATGGCCTAGTATGCGTACCATTTAGAAGGGTTGTTTTCTCCCCAGTATCCTTATATTGTCGAAGGCATTGGAACAAACGAAAAAGGTAAGGCAAAACAAGAACCACAGGGATTGCAACAGAGTGACTTCCACAAACTGAGTCAGCTTCAAACCATGCAATAGTGGCAACCTGCTTTCAAATAAACCTCTTAATAAAATATAGGTGAAGTAGCAACACTTTAACAAACAAAAGTGAAACATGAACTGAAGGGACACAGTCAGAGCGTCCACCACAAGATCTCTTGAACAATACAACACAACAATTTAAAATAAATACATAACAAATTATGTGTATTAGCACATGAATCTCCTCATCACTTTTTTGACATATTACTTTGTGCAACTTCAATTACATATTTGTACTTGAATGTATTTCTTCGTGGCACCATAGTTTTCTCAAAAGCATAGGAAGAAACAAGTAAGCAGTTTGGTTGATGCAATTCCACCATCACTGCCATTTGTTTTAGCAACTTATACTATGGTCTCCTCAGTCGTCACTAAGAGCTTCATGGCAATGACAGAAGATGAAAGATGGATGCTCATTGGCGAATAAAAGAGAGTGCAAGCTATCCAAAAACGTAGTCCATCTCAAATTTTACTATACCCAAAGTTAAAGATGCTCAGCATAGGCAACAAATTTTCTTATGCACCGAAATGCATTTTACAATCTTTTAGAATAACAATCAATTTTTTGGGTGATTAGCAAAGAGAGAAAAAGACGTAGAAGAAGAATCACAATTAAAAGGGGAAACGCTAACCTGTCGATGGACCATTCGACATACTGATCGCTCCAAATCTGAAAGCACCTGCATAGGAATGACAAACACGATCGGAATCAAAAGGCATGATGACAATCAGATATCATAGATGCCAAACTATTTCTTGATTCTACACTCCTATTAGGTTAACCACAATAAACTTGCACGCACACTACACAACAATCAACAAGTTTAATATCCCTTTTTAATCACAAAAATTGCACTCTAGTACATGCAAAATCACTTGTATAATTGTAAAAGTAAACATCAGGATACATACCTTAGACATGGAGGTCAAAATATCAGCCAGGAAAAAGTCAGAAAATGATATTGCCTGTTTTCACCAAATAAATAACGTAACTGTAATTAATCATAATATAGACAAACAACAAAAATCAATAAATGAGACCAGAATATACATCACTTCTAGGCAACTGAGCATTAACTAAATGGGAGAACCGTACTTTCTAGTGTGTATAGTTCTCCCAATACTTTCGAGTAAGTAGAAAACAAAATCAAACAGATGGGAGAAGGTCCACAGTTAGATTTGAAAGAAACAAACTTGCCTGTAATGGGAGAACTATACGCCAAAGAGTCCTTAACAAGTAAAAGCGAGATGACAAATAGAAAATGTCAAAAGGGAATATCAAAAGCATTGCAACAGCAGCATATAATAGTACCTGCAGAAGAATGCAATTAAAACTTAGCCCAGTTACAAGATACTAACAGATGGAAGATAAAAAATGGACAATAGCATAGTCAGTATGATAAATAATAGTATGTAGACCATAATCTGAACAATCATAAACATATATCTGCACTGTTTATTCTATAAAATGAAATACTTCACTTAGGCTTGGAAGCTTTGGTCATTCAAACTAGTGAACTATGGTTTTTTTTCTTTATCACAGACAAACGCTATCTCAAATAGGTACTTCAAAATCTATATGGATGCATCTATTACACTGGTTGTGATGCAGCAAGTGACACTTCTCCATGCGAATAGAGATAAAGATAAGCTGTCATGCTTGTCGGCACAACAATTGTCATCCATGTCGCACACTGCAAAACGCATACTGAATGGTAAGAGTGAATCAATGAAACGGGAAAGTAAAGAGAATTAAAAAAAAATCAATGTCAGATATGTCAAAAGTAATTAACCAAGAGCATTCCATAAAGAAAACATGCTACCTTCTATTAACAGGAACAGCTAAGATGAAATAGGCCCTCACACCATTACTTTTCTCCAATATATATAGAGAGAGAGAGAGAGTATAGACTTCAAACTTTTAAATTAAGAAAAGTTCTAAAAAAATGCCATTAAACAGTCAAAGCAGATGAAAATTAAAATTCTGTATATTGTTTCCATAAGGAAAAAAAATATACACTGCAATTTCCAAGGTTTATGTTAGTGCAGCACAACCTTTAAAGTTCCACATGAAAACAGAAACAGAAAATAACTCCGTAACAATTAGGCTAATAGTTCAAGATGACCGAGTTGTTGCACTGGTACCTTCCATATTTCTCTGTGGGTCAAATGATTTTGATCAAGATCAAAAATTTTGGCATAGTTTACATTGCCCTGAGCAAAAACCCATAGATTGACTCCCCAAAACCAAACCATCATAGTCTGCGCATGTCAAAAACAGACGAAAATGTTTCAATAGAAGGATAAAAAATGTTGAAGTATGATAGGATAATCAATTCTGATAAGAAAACTAACCACAAGAAGCAGAGGATTATAATACAAAAATGCCTCATATAGAAATAAATCTCGCAGATCCGCACTCATCCTCATGACAGAATCCCATCCAACCTGTAAATTTGCAGTTAGTTTGGTAACAACATCCTTGCAGCACAAAACTAACGTATTTTTGGTTCTTGTAAATTTTTTTGGTAATAAAATCAGAACCCTATCACCAGCAGTAAAAATAGAATTGTGAAGAACTGACCTTGCAACAAATGAAACCCCAAGCAAAGAACAGTAGGACCTGTACATAAAACCAACTTAGGAAGCCACGAAACTAAAGCCAAGAAATAGAAGATGTAAAGATATATGTCACATGCTATTGAACTGAAACCCAACACAATTGTAAAGCAGAGAAGAAATGATCCACTTCTATCCAACTTTGGTGAGCCAGGCCATCCATTTCAGAATTTTTCAATACAATAAATAATGAAAAATAAATTGAAATTCCCTCCTTCTACCAAGTTGAGAATTTTACAATTATTCAGCAAAACTATGCAGAAAATAACTGGAAACGTAATTCAGAAAGACTAAGAATATTATCATAACGAAACCTTAAATCTCCATAACATAGCTGGAGATGGCATTATTGCAGCAGTACTCCTTGGTATGCTTCCACCCTTCATATCGTTTCCCTCTATCAGACGCAAGAAGCCCTCCTCTGCACCATTTTCAAGCTCACTTGTACCTGAAAGATTTTTTACTACAACTATAAAGCCGTGACAAGAGAAGAAAAAAAAAAGCCCCCCATGGTAGATATATCTACACAGTATCAATCACAACTCATAAGTCATAACTCAAACACTTAATTGTAC